ATTACAGTCAAACGTCACCTCGTGGATGTTAACATTACAGGTAGACATCACCTAGTGGACGTTAACATCACAGGTAGACATCACCTAGTGGACGTAAATACATTACAGGTAGACGCCATCTATTGGGTGTTAGCATTACAGGTAGACGTCACCAAGTGGGTGTTAACATTGCAGGAAGACGTCACCAAGTGGTCTCACCTAGTGGATGTTAATAATACAGCACATTAACAACACACCATGCGCACCTAACGAATGCAGGTAAAAATCACCAAGTACACGTTAAAAATGCAAGTAGACATCACCAAGTATATGTTAAGAATACAGGTTGATGTCACCAAGTGGATGTTAACAATACAGGTAGACGTCACCTAATACATACAGACAATATATATTATAGTCATAAGTTCATATAGACATTACATATCATAGAAGTAATAAGTTCATATAGACATTACAGGAAGTCAACCAACTGCATTTACAAAATAAAAAACAGGAAGGCAGCGCTTACAGCATATTATAAAACTGGTAGTTATAAACATTATGTTCGATGCTTCGGGTTTGCTGACTGGATACATTTTTTCATGATCAAAACCTTATAAATTAATATGACTTTTTCGTCTGATATTTTTTTATGGTCTCCCTGTTGAAGGCTTTCTATCTCAGAAGGCTTGATATATCTTGGCTCAACATTTAGCCGTGCGATGTGTTCACACTGCTTCAATTCTTATTTCCACAATTTGTAGCTTGCGTTGATAATGTCTGAGCCTTTTATGCACCCCTTAGACGAAGAGCAGAGGCTGTTATTCGAACTAATTGTCACAAAGTGGCTGCGAGCGAAAACAAGACAATCTAATGATGTTTTTACTATATTATATAGTTAATTCAAATGTCTTTCTATGGTCTAAGAAGAACATTATGAATTATATTATGACCAAACAAATCAAATTCAACATCTAATCCCTCATGGGAGGACTTCTTTCGTATGGAAAGATAGATTAGAAACCTTATCAGCTTCAGAGGTTTTAATGTATTGCTGTATGACTAGAGGTTTTTGACCCATGGGATTAAGTTTGTAATGGTTTTTATCGATGTTATGATTAACTTCATAAAGTGAAAGTTGTTGTGGTTGGTCACTCAGTCTGAGTGGATAAAGACCAACAATACGATGACCAGTGGTACCTATGAAGCTACGATTCACAGCATCTATTATCTTAGTCTGTTAGAGTGTTGGAATCTCATTTTCTTGGTTACATGTTACAAAATTACACCAGGCCTATTATGGCCATATACACCGGTCTATTATGGTTATATACACCCGGTCTATTACGGTTCCATAACCCGGCCTATTATGGTTATATACACCGACCTATTATGGTTATATACACCCAGACTATTATGGTTCCATACACCGGCTTGAAGCTAAAAAAAACATTATTGAATATTAAGAATTACTGTGTTTGGTGCCGTTATCGAGGTAGAATTAATCATATTTCCTTAACACCTGACGATGATGTCCCCATAACCAATATACCATACGTCAAGCAGATGTAGGTCCAACCAATAGCCATCAATGGATTCTTAACTGATTTCCATTACGGAAAAACTGAACTGATCCTCACTCACATTGTTCATTGATACTATGACACGGCAATGAAAAAATACCTCTTTTTTACAAGAATAGCAACTAAGGTTCAAGAGGATCCTGCTGCAGGTCCTTGGCATTGGTCTTTCGCAGATTATCTGTACCCATTTACAGCTGGGTAGACTACATATATTTGTCCATAGCTAATCAAACCTAATGATAAACTTGGGCCTTTAATTTCGGATCCAGATCCCTGTTTCGCCAATAAGATAAACTCAAGTGACGAAATGCATAGAAAGCAATACAGAAGATGGAAAGAAAGAACCATTTTTATACTAGGTAAACAACTTAATAAGGCTAGTCTTGTTCCAAATGGTCTTTGTCATGGTGAAATTTCTCTAAAACTAGCAATCTAAAAATAGATCGGAGGTACTCTCATAAAAAAGGGACATTTTCTGTTTGACCCTGAAAGTACCGTCTGAAGAACGGGTATGACTGGATTTGTCGTGCTAGAATCCAACGACAATAGCATCGCTCAAGACACATGATTCACGGCTATCATACAACTTGATCAGTTATGAAACAATCATTTTTAAAAATTTGAATAACAAAATTATGGTTGTCCATTCAAGAGATTTTAAAAACAAATATAACAGGAAATAAAAGAAAGACTTACCATTTTAGACTTCTTAACTCTCAATCATCACCCAATAAATTTACAAGCCTATTTTATCACAGAACTATCTCAGACAATTATCAGGAATCCTGGCGTTATAAACCACCTGTCTTCTATGACGCTGGCACTGGCAAAAAATGACTGAAACCACCTCACTGTATGAAGAGCTCTATCTGTATACTACGATTTCATTAACTACAATAGTGATATCTAATTAAACGTTATAGGAACGTCCGGTATACCAATCGATTTTTATACGCTAGACCACAAGATCATAACAAGTTTTGGAAAGATGAAGGTCGAGTAAGCAAAAAAAATTAATTCTTACGGCCGACCCATATCATCAAGATATACATAAATGACAAATAAATTACTCCCCTTCCCCCAACAATCAAGTCTAGCTACGGTCTTGAGTTACACCAAACTACCAAGAGTCGAGTTCCCCCCCTACTAGATTAAACGATTTTTCAACCATCAAATGAACTCAACCAAACCAATCCAGCTTCTGACGAAAGTGGAAGTTAACTGTTAAATGCCAACCAACCGACTGACTTGAAGTAATTTCCACAGTATTTGATGCCCAAGAAAACAGTAAAATCTATGTATTCTTAAACGAATATTTTCACAAAATTAGATACAATCAAATCCTGTACAAGTAGCCTACGAGAATTATCTGATTGGTTTGTAAAGGGTTAATTTAAAATCTTTTTTACAGGCCGAATCTACGGAGCAACTAAGGCGCAATTTTCCGTACTTTTATCAAATAATTCGTTTAAACGAAATAATGTAGCATTGTTGTATGTTGTAAAAGTAGTCTGGAGACAAGCTTGTCTACATTAAGTTATTCGATTATTCAATTATTACGTTTAAGCGAAATAAGTAATTGGTTTAAATGAAACCAATAATGAAATACATGACGTTATTTCGTTTAAACGAATTAGTTACTTCGTTTAATGAATAACTTATTTCGTTTAAACGAATTATTTTATAAAAGTACGGAAAATTGCGCCTAAGGGGCTCCGTACGAATCAAATAACTGGGACGCCGAACTTATGTCTGTGTGAAATTGGGCTCTTTGGGTTATTCGATAACTCGTGGTAAATTACTTTTTCAGGGTCGTACTATTGTTAGCTACAAGATTTGCAATGGCATTCCGCTGAAAATATATCCTATAGCCCCTAACGGTGTAAGAGTTTATACTTCCATCTCACACTGTCTTCTTGTGGCAGTGGGATAGCTCAGTCGGAATCGATGAGATGCCATGGGTTCGATTTTTTAAGGTAAGAAAACTTCTGATGCAGCGTTTAGTGCTTCAGAGAGTCAGTCCTACATCGACTTTCACATTAAACTGTCATTATAGCTATGAATAAAGGGACATGATTAGGTCTACCTATATATAACAGGTCCATTACAGACCACAAGCATTCATTGTGTGGTAACATAATACATAAGATCGTACTCATGGGGTATGTATACATGTAGTATAGTGTGACATTTTTTCAACGCAACGATATTCTTAAACTATCAATACTGTTTTAGAGCTGATATTCCAATTCACTTAAAAATAATCAGCGAAAGAGAGCGAAATAGAAGTTTGACTAGCACTTCTTGCTGACTTCTGTCTGGCCTCCTATATAATTATTGACAAGTATATTGCTATTTGCTATCTCTATCTACCTCTTTATAGTTGAATCATGACAGAAGTCGACAATGTGTCGAAGATTTTTGCATGACAAAATGCCGACAAACTATTCTAGAAAGTACGAACTCCTATCTGATCCGTCAAAGTTATTTACATGAATTGTGATTATTTTTTTCATTCATTAATTTGTGTAGAAGATGGAGACATAAAAAAAAAAAATGGAATGATAATATATATATATCAATGATAGAAAGGTTCACAACCATCTTTTTTAAAGACATTATGATTATCAAGGCCGAAGAATGTACGTACTAAGTGCCCCTTATCCCTTATATTTTTTGGAAATCTTCCTCTAGATCGACACACCACCGGTATATCTACAAAAGTATTGTTATAAGATTTGAACGACATTTAGGAGCCGAGAGCTCATATAAAAAAAAACAAGAGAATCTTCTCTAATAACTAAGTACAGTGTCGTCATCAGATGAAATGAAGAAGGAGGGAGTAAACATGGGTATACATAAGTATGTAAATTGTGTTGAAAAGTTATGATATGTTGGTATTAAAGAAGCGTTTTATACCATGATATTTGTGTTTTTTTTACCCAATGCAATGAATGAAGTTTTACGTTGTACTCTGGCCCGTTTTAAAGATACAGTCATGTCTCAATAATATGATACGGTATAAGTAGTAAAATCATCGCACGCATGAAAAATAATTTTCTGTTTGATATTAAGTAGGTAAATAATCTACATGGCTAATTATTAATAGTAAGAGCTAGGGTAAAGTCGATCATAGAAGTAGACATATATATAATTCGTGAGATAGTGAGAAATTCTTGAGTCTCTGTTTACATTTCTTATGACGTGTGCTATAATCAAATATGAAGATTTAAAAATGTAAAACATTGTATTTATACTGAATGGGATGGTTAATGCGTGATAGTACATGTAATGAAAATAGGATTTTTAATTATTGTATCGGATGTATTGTATTATAAAGCATATAGGGCCTAGGATCCATACAAAGAAAATTATTAAACCTACGTGTGCCACTAATTTGCTAACCAACCGGGAATTATAGAGAATAGCAAAGTTATAATGAGATGTGGTATGTTACAAAACGTATCCACATGTGAATGTGATAGTGTGAATAATATTAAATGTGTGTTAAAGAGACAGGTAGGCCATTTTTTTACCAATTATACTTTAGATTTTTTTAGCCAAGCCAATCAGTTATAGTGTTCGACATTTTAGCCTTCAAATCCATGTGTGTCCAGACCTATCCGTTAAAATGACGACTCGTCATATATAGCCTAGAAAAGACAAATATAGAAATAGTGATTTAAATTCTTAATTAAAGGAATTATGCGATTTTCGTACATTTCTTGTACTTCTATTTACATATATTCAAGATTAAAATCAATCCCCCAAAATGGCGCATCTGTCCCTTTAACATAAAAATAATGTAAAAGTTTACAAGCGCATAGCTTGATTCTAACGATTTGTATTTCATGAGGGCGTAGTGACATAATATGCCTTTACTTAATCCAGTGTGTTGATATTATCGAACAAAATACAGCATTAAATGGTTAGATTAAACGAATTAAAAGGAAAATAGGCCAATTGCATTGTGTGCAGAATTAAACCTAACTAACAAATAGAGTGAAAAGGTATGTCATTTTTTTTTTTACTTTATGAAATAATGGAAATTAACCGGATGACGGATGTGCCGAAAGGAACATTAGACTGTTTATGCTACAGTCTGAATATAAGATGAGTTAAATTTTGTTATAACTCTAAAAGCAAAACGGAATGGTATGATATACTTTAAGAATCTCTTACAATTTTAACTCTTACGATGGCAATGCTAAGAATCAGGTCCGAGCAGGGGCAACATAATTATTTGGGGGAAGGGGGGTAACAATGATAAGATATTTGATAAGTTACAGAGCTGTGATAGGTATTTTTCAACACAATAATAATTTATAAAAATCTGATAGGGCCTACAATTTTGATGTAAAATTACTATGCTATATTTGCATACAATATTTGGTAGTTCAACCATAACATTTCTCACGAAAGATATTGACTGATATAACTGATAATCCCGTGTACCTTTAATAGTTTAATGAAGCTCAAAGGTTAATAGTCGATGACCGAAACTTTTGCCTTTAGTCATTTAAAGTAGGAGAAGTAGACGATTTCACCGCTTAAAGGGTGAGTGTGGTAGCTCATGAATTGACCAATGTTCAACAGTACATGTACTGTCAATGTCGGTTTTTGCAATATTGTTAGTAGAGCGAGCAATACTTGTTTAAGAAATTCTTCATTACGATTACGATATGAATACTTCAAAATTTACACTGGAAATTTGTACACACCCTCCCTTTAATTGTTCAATATAGATTTTGTAACCGTCAAGGATAATTTTGAAATTTACGGGGGGTAATTAGGCGATTTGTAGTCCAATATCAACGTTTAGATAATAATAATATATCTATTCAGCCAGGATATATTCTCCGACATGATAAAAGATAGCAGGAAAAACCTTAGAGGAAATCACGAAATAGTAAAGATTTATATGGGGAGAGGCGGTAATGCAATCGATCAAAGATCTGAAAGGGTAATGGAAAGACAAAGGTATACAGTAGACAATAGAAGGAAGTAAACGATCTGTTTCTTCTGATTTGTACTGTATCAATAATCCGAACATAGTACGCCACACAGGACACCCAGACGTCAAGTTTACAAAGGTTTAAAGACCGCCTAAAAGACCGTTGGCGGCGATTTAGTTTGGTTCCCCTGTGCACGGTGTGTAACTAAGTTATAAGCAAACATATACGTAACGTTATTAGTTAGCATAGCAGTCTGATTAAAACACTGACCAATGTACCTTTTTTTTCTTTGCACGAATCATCTTATGCAGTAGCTTGAGCTCCAGAACATTGGAAAATGCAGATATCAATCGAAAACATGTTTCTCAATATAATATTAATACCGTAGGTGTAATTAATGGATGCTTTGAAGACAAAGACAAAAAAGACAGCTCAAACGTTAATCCTCAATAAAGGAGGCCGCTACTGTCATAGTCTATAAACAGTCTTTCTAATCCTCCAATTAGCTAACTGAAAAGTTAATCCATATTTATTTTATTTATTAGCAGCTAATGTAGTTAAATTGCTATTTAGATCTTTGTGCAAAATTAATGCTTTTGTTATATCTGACAGTATTGATATGTTTTTTTAATATAAGATCCTGCCACAGTAATCCTTATATCATCTTTAAAATCTATTGTTAATGTTTGTTATAAATATCAGAAATTAGAATTTTCTACAGTCTTCGGTAGGTTAGCCACTTAGCAGTGTCCGGTACACCATATTGTAAAAACGTTATCACTATTAGGCGACTTATCATTGTAATGTGTATGTACAATTTCCGATATAAAATGTTAATGCAATCGATCAAGATTTTCCGAAAGGGGTAACAGGAAGAAAGAGTTTGAATACCCTAGCATTATGGTGTATGTTTAATGAAAAAAAATGAATTCATACACATTTCTACCATAGAATATTTGTCCATGGCCTAGCAATTACTAGACTATCGCACTTGTGTACGTCTTCCGGTTTGTTGGTTTGGAACCGTTGTAAATAGAAATAATTTTAAATTATTTATCAAAGTCTTTTATAACCACTGATCGATACTGTTTCACATGTATAGGCTATTCGCTCGAAGTATCGTTCATTTCTAAGAGAACTGTGGAATCCAAGGTTCAGAATTAAAGTTTCATGGATTTTGTAAGGTGTCTATCATGCAGTTGGGAGATTTTCAAATAAAGTAAGCTAATTTAAAAAAATAAATAAATTATAAAATTCCATTACAGGGCAGCAATTGTGTCGATTATGTATCTAGCAAATGTGTTTCCGACTATACGCTCATGTTGATATAGAGCAACACAGGGTAATTACGCTGTGTCATTTTCAGGCGAACTGAAAACGCAACATAAATGGAGTAGGCTCTGATGAATATTACTAATGCACCTGTTACTAACTTTCGACAGATGTCGAACACTAAACTTAAAGGTACAGATGCGTCATTTTTCTACAAATCCAACCTTAATCTCAGAAACGGATTTTTTTTTAGCTAGGCCAATGAGTAGTAGTGTTTACAGCTCACCGTCGAAATTTGAGCCTGCAATTCCACGTGAGTCCAGAATTATCCGAATTTGAAGGGTAGTATGCAAAATTATACTTTAAAATATTTCTTAACAGCTAGTTACTTAAATGTGTCATCCAAAACATAGTGTACTAATTGTTAATTGTGCAGTTTAGAGTAAACTTTCAGAATAAGTAGGTGACATATTTGTCTATAATTTGGAGTTAATTTGACTAAAATCTGCACATTAATTTTCCGATCAAAACATAGAGATTTAAAAGGTTTTACGAAAACCTTTTTAAATAGTTTTAGCGTTCTAAAATTAACTGCAAGATACTTATATAGTTAAAACTTTCAGTGAAGGTTAAAGGCACATTTCTTTACAGTCTATGGTTTACTTTCATTTGAGCTCCTAACTTTCCCTAAACTTCCCCTTTCTACTGAAAAAAAAAAACAGACTGTCCCTTAAACGAAATCTATTATTTTGGTAAGCACAGTTTTCTGTTATTACGAGCAATTCAGATTGTCATTTTATTCAAATGCCAATTATTTCGTTTCAGAATGCCAGATCCTGAAATGAAGAGAATAAATTTAAAACAACAGAGTTACGATGTCAGTACCGAAGATGTCAATCCAGGGTTGAAAGAAGATGCGGAATCTATTTTAAGCATTGTTGCAAAGCTTGTCGTAGCGCTTTTGTGTGGTGTTGTTTTCGGATTCGCTGCTGAAAAATCACGAGGTAATGTAGAGCATTCTTAGGCTATTGTCATTTTAAATATAGATCTATTAAAGATGTAAAAGTATATTCTTCTATAAATTTCTCCATTTTCCCTCTATTATCTTTAAATATAGCCATGTGCAATGAGTTTTAGGTTAATGAAAAATTTAACCAATCAAAGGCTTAATCGTTTTCAGAGTATGTAACCAGTCGGTGTGTAGAATCTTTGGACTATAATTTCATAATTTGACTTCATACGTTGTGATGAACAATTTGTTCAGATCATCGTTGTCGAGAGTAGTTGGTTATTTCTGTAATATATTGCCTGTGAGATAAATTCTTTTCCACATTTCCGAGCAAGGCTCAAAGCCCAAGGCTTCACATAGTAGACAGGCAACTTTCAATCTATTTTATACCCTACACCAGGCCTGTGCAACCTACGGCCCGCGGGCCAACTGCAAGATGATTTCATGTGGCCCGCAACTTCATGTACAATTTGAAGGAAATGCGGCCCGCAAATGCTTCTTTGCTCTTGTCACTGTCGATGTGGCTCGCAGATTATCACTGCCTATTCTGATATCGAAAACCGCTATATCAGCTCTGTGAATCTAACCAATCAAATCGTTAACAAGGTCTGCACTGTGTAAAACAGTGATTTTATGTCAAATATGTCTGCTATTTGCAATGCACATTGAAATACGATATTGAATAAATGACTTGAAAAAAATTGCATGTTTCTCATTGTTAATTCCATGATTCATTTATGGTTGGTTCGTGGCCCATGTCCTACTCGCATCCCCCAAATGTGGCCCGCCGTTGCGGAAAGGTTGCACAAGCCTGCCCTACACGCTTGCTATATTTTCAGTATTTGAACCAATGTCTATAAGAGAACAGATGGTATTTGAAAAATGGATCATGTTAAAAATGTTTCTAGCAGCTGTTGCTACAGGTATATAAAATTATTGCATTTAGTTTACTAAATAATTTGGTGTCATGGGTTCGATTCCACTAATTAGACCATAAAACAGATGCTACGATCTGTTCTTCAGCTATCTTGTCCTGGTCGATATCACATTATAACCACGGAGAAGATTGAATAATAGCACCGACAAACGTGACCTACATTCAACGCCGTTATAATATATAGTTTGTTGCAGAACGATGGTCGAACTTTACCAAATACTCGGTATACGCAGTTCAATGTATCTGACATCTATTCTTATATTTTTTTATCTCTAGGACAAGTTTGTTTGAATTTACTGTCAGTTTGTAGTCGAACAAGTGAAAAATTTAAAAAAGCCAGTGAACAATTCTTCAAAACTGTTTCTGAGAAAGGATTGCTGACGTCAACGCTTGGTCCTTTCATACTCGGTATCGGAATGACATTGTCTGGATCGGTAAGTTGAGAAATCCGTACCACCATTTCCATTCAAAGATTTGCTTGTACGAATTATGGGCTTGGAAATGTTAAATATTTCCTCGGAGGGATATAGAAATATCCTGACCCATTTTTGTTTTTCGTGAATAACATCGTTACCAATGGGTTTAGGGCATTACGAAACTCGAGTAGTATCATTTGCATTTGTTTAGTTTTTAATGTACATATATTGGACACATTGAAAATGCAGTTTTTTTTGGTGAAAACATAAAATTTCAAACGCTTCTAGCTGTTGGCCTACCATGTGAATTCATTGTGAAGTCCCCAATGTAAGTCACTCTATCCCTATTTGTACCCCCCAGTCTTGAGATTCTTGCGCCGTCTCTGGCTGTGAGCGAAAGATTTGACAGTAAAATAAACAAAGATATCATAAAGCTCACTGTAAATTTACATTACAGTGTCCAGGAATGGTACTGACTCAGGTTGGAGCTTGGTGTCCAAATGCAAGTAAGCTATTTTTTTCATTGCAGCCACAAAAACAATTGAAGTGTTAGAAAGCTAGTATACCAGTATTGCGATATAATTTTCTGTAAAATGTATGAAATGTAGACATCATTATTTTTAGGTTAACTAATCATTCATATTGGCTACATTTGACAACCGTAGATCATTCATAGGTTGTGATTTTATATAGTCGAGTGATTCAATTATTACATAGAAGTCTAAATAGTTGTTACTTTTTTCTCCTGTTGATAAAACTTGATATCCGTGTGACAGTTTAGAATGAAAATCTGTCGTCCTGTTTGACATCTTGTAGCTTTATATCCAACTCTTCATTAACGGAACCGATTGCTACGATCCCTTCTTCATGATCATACATTTGTTCAAAACATCGTCATACATTTTTTATCCACGAACACGGTCATATAAATGTGTTTGCGTCTCTATTTCATATGAAAATTGTTATTTCAGTATTTACATTGATGGGTGCTCTTTTAGCTGCTTTAATATATGGCATGGTAGCCCAGCATATTCAAAACTTTACACAACCAAAAGTGTCGTATCAGTCACTCCAGTAAGTAAAATCTCGCTTCTATAAAACATACCACTTATGTCTGAATGCCACCACATAATAAATATTCGAAATGGTCGGTATTTGAAATGGTTATCGACAAGCGCGTGATCTAAAAAAAATATTTTATCGTTAGGGGTTACTCTATTTCTCCCACAATCTTGCAGTTGTCAATATATATTTGGTGATTCCACAATTGCTATAGAAAAATAGTAGTTTTACAATCCAAACCATCCTGGCAATGAATTATAAATACTAGTGCTTGGTGTCGCCAAACATGCCACGATACGATACGCATTGCGATACAAGGGTCACGATACGAGACATATCGCGATATGGGATAATGATCCTTACTTTTTTTTCTGGAATGAAGGGTACCGTATCGTCAAGTATTGATCCATGACCTCGCGATGCGTATTGTGGCATGTTGTATCGCGATACATCGATTCATCAATATTTCGTGCCAACAGTAATGCCTACTAATAATTAACATTATTTTACCATTAAAATGTATTTTCTTTCATTATAGAGTCCATCATACCCTCAAGAGGCCTTACATATTATTTGCTCTACCTCTAGCAGGATTCCTTACAGTGGTCGTGGTTTTACTAGAAGTTTATATACCTTTCACCCAGGATTTAGAAGTGAGTCTTATTATAAAAATAGCCCACATTTGTAATGGCAGCTAATTTGACAAGAGTTATCAGTAAATTAATGTTTCTGAGAGTGAAATTTTCATATTTCATGGGTTTGTTTACAGCTTACAATTCAAGAACAAGGGCAATAACTCATAGTAAATATTTTCGATTCGTCTGATTTTCAATAGGGTTCATCCTTGGTTGATTACAAACACTCACACCAAGTTTCGTCAAAATCCATCAATAAACCAGCTCTCTATCGTGTCCACAAACAATTCAAGAATAAGGGCAATAACTCATAGTAAATATTTTTCAATTTGTCTGATTTTTAATAGGGTTTATCTTGGGTGATTACAAACACTCAAACCGAGTTTCGTCAAAATCCATCAAGAAACCAGCTCTCTATCGTGTCCACAAACAATTGTGGACAGACAGACAGACAGACAGGGGCGACGACTATATACGCCCACATTAATGTGTGGGCGTATAAAATGGAGTTCAGTTGCAATTGACGAAGTAAGGTATTATCGATACAGTAGAAAATAGTACCTATTTTACGTCTTACTATTTTCTACTGTATCGATAATCCTGAACCAGAGACAGTAGCTCGTCTATTGGCAGCTTTATACGGTTCACTTTTGCATCACATTCAGCTAACATTATGTTATTGAGTTTGCGATTATATTCAGTGGACATTTATTTAACATAACTTACGATGATTATCAAATCTCATTTCAGAAACCAGAACTTCAAAAATCCAATATATTTGAAACAAGAGCCTGGCCACCATTTGTAGGCGGTAAGTACACAGAATCAGAAATAGGCAATGGGAAATCAAAAACATGGACCTTATGCAAAATGTATGCAAATAGTCACATTATGAGCAGTCCTTGTATAAAAAAAAAATATTTAGACCGATTATGTTCATGTTAATATTTCGTTCTGTTTTAGGTTGTTTGATTGGTTTATTGCAACTTCCGGTTGTTTTAGTATTAGGTGATACGATTGGTGGAAGTAGTAGTTACGTAACACTTGTTTCACAATGGGTTAGAACTCCTTATTTGAAGGACAAATTCCCATATTTAGCTGAGCGACAAAGTGGAATGGACAATTGGTGGCAGGTACGATCGGTCTGATGATTTTAGTACTGGCATAATTTCATGTCTCTCGTACATATCCTCTTTATTCCAGTCGATTGGTATGTCTTTTAGTGTTCAGACATCTGATCATTAAAACATGTTTTACATTTAGTTGTGATAACTAATCAGATTACTGTATTTACTGTATAGATATTGCTAACTGCGTCTAAAACCTTGACGGCATTCGCCACCTTGTATCTCAGAAGTTTGTGAATGCAGCAATTTGATTGGATTGTACGATAGCAAAGCTAAGTCTCCCGAGGTATAAGGCGGTATGGATAAATGTCATTCGACCCGACCAGATCTAACGAAGAATCAACAACCAAACCAACAACACAGAATCATCTAATTTGAACCAATCCAACTACCAACTACTACGACTACCAACAACTACCAAGTTTGCGATATCAGCATCCGCTGAAAGCGAACGTTAACTTGTCATCTACCCATTTAATCACCGTTTTTTTCTATTTAAAGGTTATCTACGTTATTGGTGCCGTTGTAGGAGGTCTTGTTTCTTCTATGTCATCAAACTCTTTCAATGATGTTCAAGGTGTGGGTGTGTTCGAGGCTCTAGTTGGTGGATTCCTGATTGTCTTTGGGGCTAGATTTGCGTCTGGTTGTACAAGGTAATATAATATTTTTACGTCATAAACTGAAGTTAATGCCAATTATAGAAGAATATAGATTTTGGTTACTGGTTATTCAGATACATTCCGAATAGGCAACAATACGAAACTGGTAGATTGTTACACGGTGGCAAAGAGCTACCATTAATGAATGAAGTTATTATATAACATTGATCTTGGTAACTTTCCTACAGAAACTTTTTGCAAATCCTTGTTAGATTATTTCTATTATTATTTGTCGTTATTTATTCAATATCTCATGAAAAACATCTGTCGATCATTTTCGTGGCGCTCATGACCGATATAGTCCTGGATGATAAAGCTACAGAGAAATTTTGCACGTCAAGTGGCAGGTTTCTGTGCTTAGAATGTAATATCTTGTCATTTCAGTGGACATGGATTATCTGGTGTTGGAATGTTGTTTTGGTTATCATTAATAGCTGTACCATTTATGTTTGGTGGGGCTATATCTACTGCTTATATAATGAGAGCTGTGAACGGGGCCTTGGATCGTTATGTTAATTCTACATTAGAACTATAAACTCTTGATGGGTGTAATTGAACTATAGTGGATGGACTAATGTGAATTGTGAGGTTGTGGTGATAAATTGAAACTTTTGTCTCTACCTCGAAAGAATATAAGAATATAGCCCTTATAAAGTCTGTATGTGGTGGCGCTTATCTGAAATATGGCTGCGCAAATGGAAATGAAGTATTTCAACTTAATCTTGAAATTGAAGTTGATTTTGATAAAAGATGGCGGAACGGGGGATTTCTATAATTATGTGTCACCAACTGGACAAGGAGATATTGAACGCCACACCAAAAATAAAAACCTCACCGCCAGATACGATTGTGCTTTGGGTTTTGGTTAATGCGAGCCACACAACTGAACCGAACCGGAAGTTAATAATTGCGCGGAAATAAGTGTCGTTAATATCACTGATCAAAGATATATGTGAGAAATGTTGAAAAATCTATTCAATAATACTGATGTTATGATTATTTTTCTGAAGTGAATAGTTTTTGTCTATTTTCTGAAACATCTGATCCATAATATTAACACGAGTTTAAATCCGTGTACAAAGCGTTATTTCTAGTCATTTTGATTGGTACAGTTGTAAACAAGCTGCTTCTTTCTGAACTGAACACAAGCTGCTTTTGGCATGGTTTTCTGTTGGGTTCTTCTTGCAAACTGCAAAGTAGATTATTCTTACAAACTGTATAATCATTTGTAAGAAACTGGATACAGACATTTCCTTCAATTGATACTAACGCTTACAATATTAACAAACACTTTATTTACATCCAATAACTTAACTAACACTGAATACTAAACAATAAATATAACTCCGAGTCTAAACCAAAAGGGGAGATTACCTGAGGTAAGATTGAACAAATCCTTCCCCTAAAGTTATTGATAAGTATATACCGACTGTGTGTTAACAAAGAATGTCGTCTCTGTCATGTGCACATTGGGTATCAAAGGCGATGTAAGATATAACAATAGACAGTTGAAATTATAGATAAATACTAACACCCCACTGTGCGGTAATACTCAAAGACCATGACATCTTACTTATTCAATAAAGAATATTACAATATAAACAACGCTACACAGTTGGTCGAGGTAAAGGGATTGTAAAGAGGTTTTAGAAATGTTTGATGTGTATCCGGGGCACTTTGACTTATTCCAATTTTCAATCAGACGTCTGTTGTTTTTGCAATTCCACTAAATATAAACGTTTTATGACGTCATCAAGTCCTTATGTAGTACGTACAGCATATTGTGTGATTAGTGCCGTCATAAAACACTTCAAGTTCAAGTGGAATTGCACGAACCACAGACGTCTGATTGAAAATTGGAATGATGAAAATTGATGCTATCAGTGTCCCGGATACACATACAAATTTTAGAAAACCTCTTTACTATCTCTTTAATGGAAATTTATATTAATTAGCACTAAAACAAAAATTCTTGTAAATCTGTAATGTAGCTCTTACATCTTGAAAATGTTGTTACTTAAGCCTGCAGCACACGGGGTTTTGGTTTTTTGTCTTATCCGAACGACTAGACGCTTTTTTCATGTCTGTTTTCGGACCTGTATCTCTGATAAGAGGAAACCGGAAAAACATAAATTGAATTAGACCAGTTTTCATTAAAAAATTTAAATTCTGTCTTATCATTATTTACATCGAATCATACATAATCATGCGTTTATCATTGTATACATAATTAATATGACGTCATTGATAGCACAGATCCCAAAAGTTTACTGACCCAATCAGCTCTATCTGTTCCGTACATAATAAATCGAATGTAAGTCAGGTGAGGAATTCGTTATATCGATGTCATTCTTAGTATGAACCATGTGATAGTTGTGATTCATGCCCTATATGCATTCTACAGCTTCAAAAAATGCGGCAGTTTTTGTCGCTGTTTTTGTTTTTTGTTTAGTCCAGAAATTTCAATAAGGATCAAACATTAAAAAGTAAGAATGTTTTTCTCAAAAATTTAGGACGAAGGGGAAACAAAAAATGTGTTAAATTCGACATTTTTTGAAAGAGTTCACAAGAGGCCTACTGTCTTCTGATATAGTAGGCCTACTTTAAATTTCTGCACTTTATCACGTACAAGTCATTAAGTTCAATAAAATCCATGACACAATTATGTTTTATCGGTTCAAACACAATAGTAGCCTACAGTGACTAGGTTTTTGGTGAATTCAAAACCTTTCCCATGCCTACCTGACTTTTCTGAAAGAATTAGGTTTGCCACTTTCGGGAGATGATTTAGGTCTTGAATATATTATGTAAACGGAAAAAGCACAATTCCTTCAAATATACCTCAAACCAGAAATTTCACTGTTTTTTCTGTACATATATATGTGTGTTTTCTATATAGGCCTACTATGGGGGAGTCATCAAGTCGTCAAGGTAACTTTCAAACGCGGATAATTCGGTACACACATGTATTTGGATTCTCAAATTTCGAAGCATAAATGAACTTACTGCCAAACTGAGTTGTGAACGAAAATTGCTATCCTTAAAAAAGAGTTTTTTCTTTCTTTATTATTTTTCTTAACAAAATTCTACGAACTAAAAGTGATTAATATTAATATTTTACAATACAATACACAATAAATGTCTGTCGCAGTTTTGAGACATGTTTTTCGATGGCCTGTCTCCAATTTAATGCCTTTTCATAACGTAATAACATACAATTCTAGTAACCTAGTTAAACTCAACATTGCTAAATATCTGCATAAGCAAATAATAAAGATGTGTTTGTCGATTCACGTTTCTGTTCACCTTGTGTTGACTTTAGATGTCAATAGCTTCATTCACACTCCAGAATAATCCGGGAAAGTCTGTCTAATTTGAATTTCAACTTATACGAAGTACGTTAAACAGCTTTTAAGTTGTCAATTCCAAACACTTAATCTTAAAACTTCGTCTTATACCTTCACTACAATAGTCACTATTCTTTTATCACGGTATGTAGCGAATATAGCCAATCAGAGCTCTTCATAGGAAGATTGTAAACATTATGGCTTATTGTTTATATATAAACTTTCTATCGAGAACTCTGATTGTATTCGATATTGTACAGTCCAATCAAATTGCTGCAAGATCAGGAAAAATCCAGTTAGTAGGCTTCACAGAACTGGGCAGATATGCGCATAAAGAGAAAGCTTCGCAGTTGGAGATCGCAAAACAGTAGGCAGCACCAAATATGCATCTTTAAAATAGAGCGGAGTTTTTAGGATTAACTACCGACGATCATTTCGTACTTTAGCGCCGGCCTAGAATTCTTCCCATATTTCGATTTGATCAACACACGTCATAAGGTCATAAACGTCTTAAGGTCATATGATAACCCCAAAATGATAATGATATCAAAATTTTGATAACGACTGATATTTAACAACGAAATCATAATCAATTATCATTATCACCTTTTCATCTTTTTCAATCATTATATGACACAATTAGTGCACTATCAATGTTTGAATAGTTCGTTAGTGGCAAACACTGAGTTTAAAAGATAAACTTGGAATACACTAGAAAAGATGTTCATTACGGTTTTTCTTTGCAGTTTTATACTGGTCCTATTTGTACGCTTTTATTTGTAAGTATCAATATTTTGAATTCACGTAACAGTTTGTTTGTTTGTTGTACGAATGTCTAGAGTATTTCAGTTGAAATGAACTCGATTGATATATTTTACGCTGTACTGTTCTGCACCATATTGGGCTATTGAAGACGATCAATACCATGATTTTGTCAGTGTAACCACACTGACTTTCTTGTATGCAAGTCTAAAGTTTTGCCCTCCATTGCAATGAAGAATATTGCTACCATTCTCACTCGCAAGGTAAACCTTGACACCTATTGCCATTTTGTGACGGGACTGTCATTTTGATATCCCATTCAGAGAGATCGGGTTGCCTATGATGTCAGCTGATATTTGGTATCAAATTCTTGGGAACATGAAAATATTCATCTTTATATTTGCTATCCTTGGGGGGGGGGGGGGGGGGGATTTTGACAACCGACCATCCGACCATCCATTACTGGAACCAAATACATATAATATACACCATGGCCTCTCTGGATATAGTATTTATACCCACCCCCCGGAACCACCAAGGCTGGCTACGGGCCTGCTGGTAGCTGCGACATCATCCTTGCCTTCTCATCTACAAGTACACCAAAAAATGCACTGATCCTTAAAGCTGAAATTTAGTGAAAATGTATCTGATCATCACGAATATTGATAGTCATTAGACAGCATTACATGCAATTGCAATAGTATGCGTAGGATTTCTCTCTGAAAAAATATGATAATGACCATAAGTATAATACAACTTGCAATAATTTTTTTGTGTCATTATATTGTACCGTCAAGGTGACATCTGATAACGCCTCCTTCGAAAGGTTTACTGGTTGTAAAATTACTTTACAATCCAACATTTGGAGAAAATGTTTTTCAGAGATCGGAAGAAAGGACAGAGAATATTTCAAGAACTTGGTATTCCAGGACCATCTCCTAACTTTCTATTTGGAAATTTATTAGATTTATGGGGTAAGAAGGTAAGTTTGCTTTGTACATTGTTTTGTAAACAATTTCGTTAAAAATTATCAAAGGTTATCTTGGAGGTGAAGGTTGAGAATAATATGGTGTGTTTTCGATAGTGAAACAAACACAGTCATGCAACCTAGATTTTGCCACCTCTGTGGCTGTACTTCCTTCTTAGGAGAGTGGTTCCTTAACATCCAAAACAATGTTAAAGGGATTGTAAAGAGCTTTGGGGATACTGATAGAATCAATTTGTCCATTCCAATTTTCAATCAGATGTCTGTGGTTATTGCAATTCTACTAAAAGTAGGTTTTGATGACGTCACCAATCTAAAAATTTGCTTTATCACATTAGACCCTTCAAAATTAGTTAAAACTTCTTTACAATCCTTTTAATCATTTTTAGCTATGTGGAACACTAAAGGTATTTCGAGTTGATAAACCCAGTTGCATAGTGGAATCTGTGTTCCAAAACAGTGCGCATGTTCGTTTGCAACAGCCGTCTGCTAATTTAGATTAATGACGTACAGTAAATATTGTTTTCGTTTTAGGGATTTCATGATATCTACCAGATTTGGAATAAAATGTATGGCAAGATATTCGGGTAACAATATTTTTCTGAATTATCTGATTTTTTTTTTTTATCAAGTATATGCGTAATGTTGTTAGGCCTACATTGTAAACATCTAAATTGCAATGTGTTTGAGATTTTGTAATGTTAAAAATAAGCTAAGAATCGCACCCTTTTAAACTGGTAAGAAATCAATTTCAAAACGGTATATCCTCTTTTATAGTGTCGTTCTTTAACCAATACAAGTTCCCCAAGTTTAATCCATAATGCTATTTTTCAGATACTTTGAAGGACCTTCTCCTATATTAGTTACATCTGATCCAGATTTTATCCAAGAAGTTTTTGTCAAACAATTCCAACGTTTTCATGCTCGAAAGGTATGTTTTGCAACTTATTTTAAGAAGTATTTGAACCCTTGTTGCCTTTACTCAAATTCAAATTGGTGTCGCTTTGCTCACAAATGTTGGGTTGTGCCTTGACCCTTATGTCATCTTGGGTGATCGACTGTATACTGTTTTGTAACAGATAAAGTTAATCTTTGTTTCAAGGACTAAGAATCAGTGTTTTGGTATAATGAGGTGTCTCAGAATAGTAGTTGACAAGTTTATGAAACTATTTTGTATTTTGATGTGGAAAATTTGTTAAAGATTTTGCGCACAATTGGACAATTTGGACAATCTGCAACATATTTCAAATCAACATTCATTGTTGTCACTCTCGCTATTGTAGATAAACTCCACGTTTGATTCTCATGCTGTCAAATGCTACGGTCATCTCAATCTTGCCTCAATTAAACGCGGACAGCTAAAGCGGGTATCACAGACTAGTGACGCACAGTTGACCATTTCTTTGGTACATCATTACAGGTGTGGCCCGTACAAGCAGATCCCGAGAAAGACGAACGAGTCCATATGTTTTTTGCTATGGGTGATAGATGGAGAAGACTAAGATCGGTTGTTAGTCCTGCCTTTAGCTCCAAGAAAATGAGAGAGGTTTGTTTTACTGATTATTGATGTCCTAATTGTTTGCCTTCCGTTGCAATATTTTACAATACTGACCGGCTTACTATCTGCTACCATCCCTTCCAACAGAGTGCCAGTGACACGATAACAGTAAAGCAATACTGATTTTAAAGACACCATTGATCGTAGACCCTAGAATACACCTACCTAACTGGGGGGCAGGCTTCCAGTGAACGCCACGGGGATATCCGAGCAGGCCCTTAAGAAATTGCCAAACATAACGTCTTTATATCATAGTATATGATTAGTAAGTCCATGTACTAACTTATCACGTGAAAATCAATGAATATTGTCTGATAAACAAACAACTTGTAGATGCACTGAACATCGAGCATATCGGGCCATATTAGCTTTTTAATAGGCGTTCAAGTTTTAGGTTGGCATCCACGGAATAATATTGTAATCATTTAACTGAATTTTAATCTTTAAAATGAACTCAACAAAGATGTCAATGTACATGTCATCTTGACTTGCAAACTTTCGTTCGTTTTTCAATAATTGTCTTATATTTGTATAGATGACGCCTGAGATAAATAAAACGATTGATGGTTTATTGAATACTATAACAGAATGCAAAGGGAAATCGGTGGATTTTTTATGGTAAACATAAAATTCAGACTCAGTTTCTCTTAGAATGAACATGAAAATCAATGGCCCATTTTTTGCAAATACCAAATAAGGGTATATTTATATGTTCATCAGTGAACCTGGTGTCTTAACTGTACAACAGAACAGAATCCCTGTATATGACGATAAATCCATAAAACGTATTAATTATTGAAAAACTCTGGAACGTAACCAACATCAGATTAACGGTAGTGATATCATCATTCCTTTCGTTTCAGTTTATTTCAAAGATTAACATTAGACGCTATAGTTCATTGTGCTTTTGGTTTGGATTCTCAAGCTGTTAATGACGATAAAGAACCATTTTTAACTCACTGTCGTGGAGTAATAGAAGATACAACCAAACAACCACTGCTGTATCTTTGTGGATGTAAGCTTCTTCTTTTCTTAATTCAATTGAAAAACTTATTCAGAAACCAGAAAGATTGAGATCTTAATAGCCTCATGAGATTTTCATAGCTTTTAATCATTTAATTTTATAGCAATGAATGATGCATCTACTGCAGGGACGGTGTGGTGACAAGCATACTTTGAGCTGTTGACTTCCTCGTTTCAAAACAGGTAAATTAGGTATCCAATGGTCTTTTCCGGTGTCAGCTATCATTGAATTGCTTATGCAACTGTTGATCTTTGCGGTGTATGACAATTGCCGATTTGTAATTTTACATTTCAGTTATAATGCCGACTCTTCATGGATTATGGATACGAATTTATAATTTCCTCCATTATATAAAATTCAATCCTGTATTTTGGCTGGAGGAGAAGTTGGAATGCGTCATAATGTTTAGAAAGGCGGATACAGAGGTGAGGTCTACGCTGTTCTGGTGAGGAATATTAAGTTGACACAGGTCAACTGTATGAGTAGAGACCTATAGAAATATACATTTATATGCATTTCAAGTAAAGAGCTCTTGGTCTCTAGGAAATTGCATCTTTCAACAGCAACATTGTTTGATGTTCCCAATGGACGACATTGCTAGCCCTAACCTGTATTCTTGACGATAATTGTGATGAAATCGGTCAATGATTTATTTCTACGCAACTTGGCGAATAACTAGTCTCTCAATGTCAGTATTGTATTAAGCAGAACTCCAATTGCTTTTGATATTTCAACTAAGGCATTAATTTCTTTATTTCCATTCAATTACAGAGCAGAAAAAATGACCTGGTACAGTTATTGATAAATGCTCGAATAAACAATATCAACGACCCAATGTTCAATATAAATGGTAAAAACTTGTCAGACCAGGTAATTATCAAGTCAATCTTCTACATCATAATTATATAGTAATCAGCAATCAAGGGTCTTTGAATTTGTCAAGGTTCCTCATTAGAATTCCAATAGACACCGGCGGCGTTTTGCAAGAAAGCTGGTCGGAAGAATCTGAGAGTGTCTGAGTGGCACTCGCACAATCTGGTCTAAATTCATGAATGACCAGTTTAGTATTAGACACTAAAGAATAGTTCTGCATTTTAATCGGATTTGGTTTAATTCTAGGAGATCGTTCAGCAGATGTTGTTATTTCTATTAGCTGGGTATGAAACAACCAGTACATCACTGTCCTATATATTTCACGAACTGGCTAATAATCCAGACATACAAGATAAACTAAGAACAGAGATTATTCAGCATTACCCCAAAGAGGTAAATTTATTAATGTATATTTTATATGTCATTGGACAGTTCGAGGACTCGCACTTGTACAGATGTATTTAACACTATTCTAATTACATTGTTCGTTTTGAAATGAATGATATATTCAGTTCGAATCTTGAGAGCAAGGCCGTAGCGCAATCTAAGTTTTAAAAAGGGTTTCTTGACACTTGGTTTGGTCGTAATTTCAAAAGTGAGACACTTTTCTCGTTTGGTTCATTTGCTTCCACTACGTTACAGCATTAGAGAATGAAATCGCTTTCGCAAAAATCGTCCAAAAGCTAAACATATCATGAATTATCATAGGCAAGTTTCCTGTGCCACACAGGGTGTTGTTCACCTCAACAATACGTGTATATTTCAGGACGATCAACCTTCCTATGAAAATGTGCGATATCTGAAATACCTAGACTGGGTTGTCAAAGAAACATTGCGAAAATATCCTTTAGCGAGTGTGTAAGTATGTATGTAATTCATACTGATTTGTGTCGTTTCTAGAAGGCCAAGAGACGACCGCTCCTCAAATTGAGGATGGCCCGCCTTTGCCTCACCTCCAGTCTCCTTTTCGTCTTTAATTTTTTGATCATTGAGTTCTGAAAAGACTGGTGCTTTGACCATCTCGAGGCCCTTTCCTTGATCCTGAACTTAAAGATTCATTGAAACGCCACTGATTATTGGGGATATTAAGAAGTTACACAACAATTACGGAGCAATTCATGAATTTTTCTAGGACCAGAATCACAAATAAGTAAAACCAATGTCATATACAAATTTGTACTTTGCTTTGTAGGATTGTGGCAAGAAAATGTATGGAAACGTGTGTAGTAAACGGATTAACTATACCAAAAGGAATGGTTATACAGGCAGATTTATGGTCACTTCATAGAGATAACGATGTGTGGGGAGAGGGTGATATGGAACTCTTCAATCCAGAAAGGTAAATATTGTCTCATTCTGACCTTCGATGATAAAGACTTAAGCAGTTCTACCAATAACAACGTGAAAGCCATAAAATAGCTCACTGCTATCTGTCCTTATTTGTTACACTATGTTTTGTATGACCTTCCATGGTAATTACTTTTGAATAAGAAACGAATGTACCGAATTTTCAGTCAAAATAATAATATAAATAACTGAAATTTAGCTTCATAATTTCAATGGTAAATATTTTGACTACACTAAAATATGTTTCGCTTTTTTTTCTAGATTCTCTCCAGAAAATTCAGCTAAGCTACACCCATGTGCTTGGTGCCCGTTTGGAGCAGGACCAAGAATGTGTGCTGGGTTGAGATTTGCTGTTCTTGAAATAAAAATGACCATAGCAGTACTTCTTAAAAAATTTCGATTCACTCCAGCAGCTGACCATCGTTTGGAAATGTCTGAAGGTGCAACAATTTCACCAAAATACGGGGTTCGATTGAACGCCGAGCTTTTGATGTCTCAAAAGGTTTCCTGAAAACTTCAAGAGTCTCGTGTAATAAGCCGTCTCTGCAGTTACAGCTGTGGTGTAATGGGATTGATTGCAATTTGTAAAAACGATGTTGAAAAGTGATTCTGGAGGGTTGCATTGTGAGATAGATAGAGTATAGAATCCACGAGAGTTGTATTTACAGACATACAGTTTTGTATCGCGTACACGTACTTCAATATTATATGATGATGTGAAAAGGTATCGACTGGTCTATAAAGCATCAGAGTTTATATGGACTGGTAATTTATATAAACATAATGTGGGTTAAAGAATATGGACTGGTAATTTATATAAACATTATGTGGGTTAAAGAATATGAACTGGTAAAAGAGATAAACATTATGTGAGTTTAAGGATATTAACCAGTCAATAATAATATAAACATTACGCAAGTTTAAGGATATGAACCGATAAATTATAATATAAACATTACGAAAGTTAAAGGATATGAACCGGTATATAACGCAAGGTTAAGGATATGAACTGGTAAATATATCATTAACATTGCACAAGTTTTACTATATGAACCGGTGAATTATAATATAAACATTACGCAAGTTAAAGGATATGATCCGGTAAACATAATATAAACATCACGCGAGTTTAATATGAACTGGTAAATTATAATATAAACATTAAGCAAGTTCAAGGATATAAACCGATAAATTATAATATAAACATTACGCAAGTTCAAGGATATGAACCGGTAAATAACGCAAGTGTAAAGGATATGATCTGGTTAATTATAATATAAACATTACGCAAGTTCAAGGATATGAACCGATAAATTATAATATAAACATTACGAAACTTAAAGGATATGGACCGGTAAATAACGCAAGTGTAAAGGATGTGAACTGGTTAATTATAATATAAACATTACGCAAGTTCAAGGATATGAACCGATAAATTATAATATACACATTACGAAAGTTAAAGGATATGAACCGATATATAACGCGAGGTTAAGGATATGAACTGGTAAATATATTATTGATATTACGCAAGTTCAAGGATATGAACCGATAAATTATAATATAAACATTACGAAAGTTAAAGGATATGAACCGATATATAACGCGAGGTTAAGGATATGAACTGGTAAATATATTATTGACATTGCACGAGTTTAACTATATGAACGCAAGTTCAAGGATATGAATAGATAAATTGTAACATAAACATTACGCAAGTTCAAGGATATGACACAAGTTTAATGATATGAACAGCTTAATTATGATATAAACATTACAGTTTGTGATTTGAATCATGCGATTTTTTATCAATAGGCCTACCTAGAATTTCTCTAGTTATTAAAGCTACATGTGTGTTTTTCAATGATCACAGTTCCTAGTTGAATACAATGCCAACTTGTAACAAAGGAAATAGCCTACCATACTTTTATTCTTGAGTCCTTTTATCAGTATCTTTGCATTTGTTATTAGAATCGTTGTCATTGTTATGAATAAAATTTCTAGATTTTGTTATTTTTTTTCTTTAGAGGTTCGATAACAATCACAATCTCTAACGAAGCAGAATATTGGAAATTTATGATAAATAAATAGAATTTAGATGTTATTTATTTATTTGAGTTGTAAGAGGGGACGGGTTGGGTGAAAACATGTTTTTCAGATCACTTCCAAAAACAGACAGGCATATATCCAGGAATAGATGTATGCTTGTATCGTTCAAGTAAAATGGGCAGTATGTATATTTTCATTATCAAAAACGCAATACATGTAAACTATACGTGAAAAGATTTCTATATATGCTATTTGTATCTACTTGATCAACCTAACTTCGTTTTACAAGGGTTAATAAAAACGTATTGTGGTAATTGTTAGGTAAGCAGTTTAAACTAGTTTTGGTGTAGGGCATTAACAGACTGATATATTTTTGTTGAACTTTCACAATATATAGGCGACATATCTTTCTACAATTTGGTGTTTATTTTTCTAAAACCCGCACATCAGTTTTCCAAAAACAACCAAAAACCAAAACGTCTTTAAAAGATTCAAACAATTAAAAACAAGATACTTTTAGTTAAAACTTTCAGATTAGGTAAGGGGTAGGTTTCATTGATATGGTCTTCAGTTTTCATTAATTCGAGCACACGATTTGTCAATCTAAAAAAATCAGACTGCTCCTTTAAGTGTGATACCTGTCAAATTTGTTAAACATTTTTGGAAGTTGACTATGCGCAACAATGCAGTAGGTTTTTCTTACTATCTTGTCTTGACATAAGACGCTTTTGTAATCCGTCTTTTTGGTCCGGTAGGGTATTACGTTATCTGCCAAAAATATAACTCAGTGTTCATTCACCAAGAAAATGATTCATAGAGACACTATAGATCGCTGATTGATTATTATGCTCAAAAATATATAATTTGATGTAATGTACCATTCATAGATTTGTTTATTTATATTTACTGATGTATACTAATGACGGTAGCATTTGACAGTTTGTTTCATTAGATCGTTTATTTAATGAACCAAATTCCTCCCAATGTAATCAGGATTCAATTAACGATATATTTTTAAACATTCAGAAAAGGTTTAATTGATAGGTCACTATAAATACTGCCGATATAAAATATGGGAATGTTTGTGGAAGTTATAGATTCATGTGTTCTTTGCAATGTTCTTAATGAAAGGAACGACTGAGGGCTCCCAACACTTGACAATTTTGTGACCTCGAATAGCATTAATTTGATACTATCAGTTTGATTATTGACGTCATCAAGCACTTCATTTTTGTGGAATTGCAGGAACCACATACGCCCGATTGAAAATTGGAAAGGTGCACATTGATTTTATCAGTGTCTCAGATGCACATAAAAAAATTAGAAAACTTTTTTTTACAATCCCTATAATAACAACCATCGGAAGTATCAATTAGTAACAACTATTGCAAGCCACAGTAAGTAACAGCTATAGCCAGTCTCAGTAAGTAACAGCTATAGCCAGTCTCAGTAAGTAACAGCTATAGCCAGTCTCAGTAAGTAACAGCTATAGCCAGTCTCAGTAAGCAACAGCTATAGCCAAGTTCAGTAAGTAAGAACTATAGCCAGTCTCAGTAAGTAACAGTTACAGCCAGTCTCAGTAAGTAACAGCTACAGCCAGTCTCAATAAGTTACAGCTGTAGCTAGTCTCGGTAAGTAACAGCTATAGCAAATAGAAAATAATCTCAAATGCTAACAACTATATCGAGTGTTGAAATTTGGGCGATTTTTTCATTAACATAAAATAGGGTAAACAAACATCTAAATAGGGCCATGAACTTTCTTATATTGTTTACTTTAATGACACTCTTTATTTACGACGTTCATTGACATTAAAAAACAGGTAGATACTATTAACTTAACCGTTAGTTTACACGTTTGATACACCTACATCATGGTAAATTAAGTTGTTGACAGCTCCAATACGATGGTCATTCTGTGCATACTCATTCGTTTACGACATTATTGGGTCTCTAAAAGCTGCTGTGGAACCTGAGCATCCAGGGTTCGGTCGAGATAATGCCTTCGGACTTTTTCAATCCTGTTTGAGACTGAACAAGTCGTATCTTCAAGAAAAGGGTGTTCTTTGAGACAAATAGACTTGAATCTTAAACTCGCCGGGTAATCTCAGGGAATCGCTTTTCCGATTGTCTCATTCTCCTAACTTCCCCCAGACCTCTATCGAATGGTGTGGCAGTCCCCCCTTCCCCACTTTCAAAAGTTTGGTGGCCCCTGCTCGGCCCCCTCATCTAATGTTTCCTAGAAACGCCACTGCGGACTGGCTACTTCAATGTGGTCATGGTTTATTTGTCACTATTCAGAGAAAAACTTATTACATTATATTTATCCTTATATAAAGTGGTCTTTAAACGCATCAGATGAAAAGATACCTATTTATAGACATGTTAAATATAAACAGTAATGTAAAGGAGATTTACTATAAGGCTATATTTACACAAGGAAATTTCAAGTTATCTATAGCCAGTTAATTTTTGATGACACACAATTTTCATCAACGTGGTAAGTTGATGTTGAGTCGGCTAAAGACTGTCAATAGCTATAAGAGACACCAAACATGCTTTTTTGCTTCTAGTTTCAAAATGATGTATGGATCATCCATGATAAAATTAGTTTAAAGATATGTTCACCTGGGGCCATCCCCACCACAGACGGAAACTTTAATTTCTGAAACCTCAAACTATACTTTTTCATACAGAGGACCTTTCTACAAAAAAAATTTAATCGAAAATACTTATTAGGGTATAAAACGGAGTGTCCCAACTTTGCGACGGATGAATACAAGATAAGCAAAACGTTTTTCAAACCCGATCGATTTGATAAATAATTGAACCGTTTTACTGGATTTCGGTTTCTTATCCCAATCGGTATCTTCGCAAATAGTGCGTGACGTCATATTGCGCATCAACATCATTTTTTGCCACATTTCTTTCATTTCGAACACTAGATGTTCATATATTGCTCTCTATGAGGTCCGGCTCAGCCATGGATGCTTACTTTCAGGTCTGCCACAGATACAAGACGTCGATTATGTTTCTTTTTAAACACCTTTTATGGCTGTACTACTAATAGTAACAATCTTTATATGTACTAATATGTAAATTACACTTAGGATTGGTGACTCAACTTTGACCTTAACGCCATGACGTCACAAATCCTAATAGTCTTCTTGTTTACATATCAACGGTGTTTGATAACTTTCAGCAGCCGAAAGAAGTTTGGGCGAACCATTCCAATCTTCCTTTCGAAAAAATTTTCAGAATGTTATTGAATCTGTCCCTGCAATTGTATTTACCCTTACGGATTGCCTCAATCTAATGCCCCCCTGTACATATGTGTTGAAATTTTGGTGAAAAACTACCGCCTTTTCATTATATTACGAAGATGAAATACGTTTCCATCTAGTAAAAGTTAATATTTGCTCGCCGAAACGTGTGTATTTGTAATAGAATGAGGGTCTAGAGTACATCGTTTAGAGATTACACATAGGATGGACGACGTGATATTTGCATTGCAGCAACTCTTTTCTTTATTTCACACTATAACTATAACACCATCTAAAAATCAAGTTCATAGTCTACTCTTACTGTCTCCGAGTTCAGTTATCTTTCCATTGCCTCGATTCGACTTCCATCCGTCAACATGAGAGAAATTCTACACGTCCAAGCAGGCCAGTGCGGGAACCAAATTGGTACTAAATTTTGGGAAGTGATCTCTATTGAGCATGGAATTGATCCAACGGGTCAGTACACTGGCGAAGATGACCAACAGCTGGAGAGAATTGATGTCTACTACAAAGAAGGGCAAGGAGGCAAATACGTTCCAAGGGCCATTCTGGTGGATCTTGAACCAGGAACCATGGATTCTATCCGATCCGGTCCATACGGTATGCTCTTCCGTCCAGATAATTTCATCTTTGGACAGAGTGGTGCTGGTAACAACTGGGCTAAGGGTCATTATACAGAAGGCGCAGAATTGGTAGACCAGGTAATGGAAAATGTGAGGAAAGAAGCAGAAAGCTGTGACTGCATCCAGGGATTCCAGTTGTCCCATTCTCTCGGTGGTGGCACCGGATCGGGAATGGGCACTCTCATCTGTAGTAAAATCCGAGAGGAATATCCGGATCGAATCATGAACACGTTTTCTGTTGTTCCATCACCAAAGGTAAATTTTAAACATATTTGCTATCAATGGGCAGTCGCAGATTTTAACATTTGCTATCAATGGACACCGTCGGAGATTATAATGTGTGCTATCATTGGGCACCGTCATAGATTTTAGCATTTGCTATCAATGGAAATTCTCGTTGGTTTTTTCTTTTGCTGTCAATGGAAATTGTCTTCGATTTTATCATTTGCTATCAATGGAAATTGGCAATGGACACTAGTCCCATTATCTAATAAATTACATTGTTCCCAACACATTCAGTAGTCTACTAGAAACTGTTTGATCTAAAAAGTTTCATCACAGCAAATTGCATTCGATGTTTATTGTAATAAATATTATATTACAATACAACCTTTTCAATGAAACCACGTAGTCTAATTTATTGAGTGCAGTTGTACATCTTTGTTTTGAAAGGGCGTGTTAACTTTAAGAGTTTCGTCTCGAACTCATACAGAACAAAGGTGAACGGAGACGAGTTAATTTGTATAAGGCATAGCTTAAAACAAAGTTAATTTAACCTATTATAATGTTTTTCTCCAGATTCGTGCTAAATGTTACATGTTTGCTGTTTTGTTTTCAAACAAACTTGAAAAACTGAGGAAATTTTTAAAATAACATTTACCTTAGAAAATGAAACATCACAAGTTATATCACGGACTAATAACAATCTGATAAATATATTACGTTTGCACTAAATGACAAATTGCGCGATGATTTTTGAACACTTTTTGAAAATCTTCATGAATAAATACCATTTTCAAAAAGAATGGCTGCTTATTTAATTGGCGTGAAAAGTGTACATTATTAGGTTATAATTTCGTTTAAAATTTCTTTAATTCTTTAAAATAAGAGTTTTTTTTGTTTTTTTTTTTTTTTGTCTTCATTTTAATCTAACCAGTTTTATATCAAAGTTCTAATGAAGTTTTTTTCTTAACCAATCAAAGCGTGCCACGTAGGTTTCGTCTCATGATACAAGGACGAATTCTGACATAGCGACATCCAAAGAGGCTGTCATACTTTACATTTCTTTATTGTTATCTTACAGGTATCTGATACAGTTGTAGAACCTTATAATTCAACGCTATCAGTTCATCAACTGGTAGAGAATACAGATGAAACCTTCTGTATTGATAATGAAGCCTTATATGACATCTGTTTTAAGACTCTAAAGTTAACCACTCCTACATACGGGGACTTGAACCATTTGGTTTCCATGACAATGTCAGGTATAACAACCTGTCTGCGATTCCCGGGTCAGCTTAACGCAGATCTGAGAAAGCTCGCTGTAAATATGGTGCCTTTCCCACGTCTTCATTTCTTCATGCCTGGATTCGCTCCCCTTACTTCCAGAAACAGTCAATCATACCGTGCCCTTACGGTACCGGAACTGACAACACAGATGTTTGATGCTAGAAATATGATGGCTGCCTGTGATCCCCGTCATGGTCGTTATCTAACGGTTGCGGCTATATTCAGAGGCCGTATGTCTATGAAGGAAGTTGATGAACAGATGTTGAACGTCCAGAATAAGAACAGCACCTACTTTGTCGAATGGATTCCGAATAATGTGAAAACAGCTGTCTGTGACATTCCTCCACGCGGATTAAAGATGGCTTCCACATTCATAGGCAACAGCACAGCCATCCAGACACTCTTCAAACGAATTTCGGAACAGTTTACTGCTATGTTTAGACGAAAGGCTTTCCTCCATTGGTATACTGGAGAAGGTATGGATGAGATGGAATTTACTGAGGCTGAATCTAATATGAATGATCTGGTATCTGAATACCAACAGTATCAAGATGCTGTTGTGGATGATGATCAAGATTTTGATGACGAAGGTGAAGGTGAATCTATGCTGGAATAAACGATCAATCTGGAATGCAAACAAACCTATACTAGAATCTAATGTAATGGTATACACTTTGAATTCTAATATTGCTTTATGTTGCCAACATGAACTGTTATTGCGACTATTTCTTCAGAAATCCTTGAATGGCATGTTGCCGTATTGTCTTGGTTGTGTTTATATTCCAATTTCTGTAAATATAAAATTATAAGCAAAACCGTAGCGCTATCCAAGGCTTTGGTGGTCGTTTCAAAATGGAGGCATTAGTCTAATGTTGGTACGATCATAATTTAAATTCGATTTAGATATTTAATCAACAATATGTATAAAACCTACTGCCCTGCATTACCATGCTTCTCTCAATTTCAGACCCGTCTTCATTAGCCCACATGGTGCAGAAAAGTAGGACGTAAAACTCCATTCATTTCATTTTCATTTTCGCAATTTCAGAGTCGAAACAAATTGACAAAACACAAAGCTATATATAAAGTTGTACTTGCAATTACTGACGATATTAGATTTGTGACATCACTACTTCCTTAACTACCTAAATTGTATAGATGTGATTTCACCACATTTATGATTGCCTAAGTATATTTCATGACTTTTGAATAGCCGGGAAAAGATGCGAGATCATAGAAAAAGTTTGAACAGATCTTTATCTACATGTATATATAAACCTACCATTAATACTAAGCCGTAATGAAAGAAACCCTTATTATTGTTACATTTCGTCATGCTTAAGCTTTATTGATCGGCTTAGTTTACATTTATTATCTTTGTTCATTAATGCTAACTTTTGATAAGGTTTCTGATATCATTTTCTGAAAGGTTGCAATGTTCAGTACAGAGGTCTAATAAAAAAGAAAGATATGCAAAAGAAGGAGTTACGGGTGAAATGATTTCCTGATGAAAACCCAAAACTAATACTTCATATTCACTTTGTCAAGTTATTACGATCTGTTTGTACACCAGCGAATACAGCCAATCAGGGTCCTTGACACAAAGACTGTAAACACTATGTCTAGAGATCACGATTAGTTGTACCGGGTAGTGTACAATGCAAACAAATCGCGTCATTTACAAACTTCAGTGATACAAAAAATATTGCAGTCAAGGTATTAGACACATTGTAAAGATGATCTTACTACGAATTGAAAGAGATACATTTGTTCAACAGTTGTTAGACCTCAATTAATTTTTTTTAAAGCAATGCTGTCAGCGAATAGAAATTAGCTTGTTACTATTTTTACATCTACTTATTTATTTATTTATTTTATATTATGTTACAATATGTTATAATATTTTTTAATTTTATCTTATAATCAAGTATATTATAAGCCATTTTTTTTTTATCCAAAAAAAACTATACGAAAAAACCTAAAAGAATCTATGTCTGGGTCTGGCCCCATAAAAAATGTTGCCATTAAACTAGAACTCCCTAGAAGCAAACTGTTGCCTTTAAACTCAAACTCCCTAAAAGCAAACTGTTGTCATTAAACTCGAACTTATTAGGAGCAAACTGTTGCCATTAAACTCGAACTCCTTAAGCGCAAACTGTTGCCATTAAACTAGAACTCCCTAGAAGCAAACTGTTGTCATTAAACTCGAACTTTTTAGAAGCAAACTGTTGTCATTAAACTCGAACTTTTTAGGAGCAAACTGTTGTCATTAAACTCGAACTCCCTAGAAGCAAACTGTTGTCATTAAACTCGAACTTTTTTAGAAGCAAACTGTTGTCATTAAACTCGAACTCCTTAGGAGCAAACTGTTGCCTTTAAACTAGCACAGGAACAAAATATTACCAATGAACTCGAACTCCCTAGTAAAACGTTGCTATTTGTGTGACAGTTGAAATTTTATGAAGATTAAGGATTAGGGATGAAGATTAGCACAGGATTTGTGCGTGGTTTAGTTAATTAATGAAGGGAGATAATCTATGTTGTTTGGAAATGAAAAATTTATGATTGATAGCGTGACAAATTAACGACGACAGACGAGGGTTATCAATGAAAGAATTAATTGCCGGCTGGTATATGATATTAATGTCCTGTTCTCAGTGATTGATTAAAAAGAGAAAAAAACATCTATTATTAATCAATAATGCTTCGAGAATTGAAATGACCAGTCTCAATCAGACCACATTGTTTAAACCCAGGCCCTGTGTTACAATAAACACAAGTTATAGATCCCTGGGCAGTTTGAATCAAAATAGTGAACTGATACCGCTGTCCTGGCAAAATTCCCTTAATGCATGATGAATGCCTGTGTCCGAAGTCCGCTTATATCTACTTTAGGTGAGGGGCAGAATTGTTATTTTTTCCCGTGTAAAATCATAACAAATTTAAAAATCAGTCTCGGTTCTGAGGGATGGAAGGGAGTGTCACTTGTTACCCCATTTCATTAGGCAAGACTGAGACAGAAATGTAGGATGTAAAACCCCATTTCATTTCAGTTGAGGCTGGGACTTATTTTAGTAAACATAACCCAGTCTATGTGTACCTATATTTCTATCTATCAGTAATCGTAGTCAGGTTAGTCGAGTCTAGCATTGCAAAGTATAATCGGGCCATGCATTATATTTCTGACAAATATGAGGCCAAAACGACACCTTAAGACTGTATGAAAGGACTGGAAAGAAAGTTAAATTCTCTTATTCACAAAGGTTATTAATTAATATCATGCATGTAGCAAGAACTATCAGCAAGATGAAGACTGTTAGTGATAAGTTTTGTCTTAAGGCCACGACCCACCATTTTCGGAGGTTGAAATGGGTCTTGAATATAATGTAAATAGTCCTCAAAAATACCTCAAACTGGGAAGAAAGAATTTATTGTTTTTCTTTCACTAGTTTATTCTTCGCTTGAAAATTGGCGTAAAAATTGTTCGTCTTGTTTATATGGTCTATAATGGGAAATGCGGAATACAGATACTTTTGATTAACCTGTCCTTCTGCATTATGGTAAGTCTGGAAAAAGGTGAGTCGTCAACAACATTTTAAAACACTGCTAACTATGGATACACATTAAGAAGTTTAACACTATTATAGCTTAACAATTCCATTTTTTGAGACGATTGACCTCTGAAAATAGTGACCTATGGTCTTTAGGCTTTACGTTATTATAAACCAACACACTGCTACTAAGTTGTCTCTAGACTGTCGCCGGCAATTATATCAGAGGACACAGCTGACCTGGGTTAAATTTATACGGTAAATGTATAGAAATTAGGGAACTTATTGACCTATTGCTATTTCCGCCTGTAAGACAATTTGTTTTTTGTTGGAACTTTTTGGAATTTGGTAGAAATGGTAGACTTATCATCCTGCAAATGGAAATAGTGAATAATTTGAACTGATTTGGTGACGCGACTAATTTTTAGCATTGAAAACACCCGGGCTTCGCAATTTGTTTCCTTGGATATTTCCTTCCGGTTACAATAATAAATTTTATAATACACCTGTACCGTACTATATTTATTACACCTGACTAGATAAGCATTGATCTATCGATTAGGAAATGGTTCTTGTGTCACCTGGCGCGTGCTGAGCACACGAGTTCTGCGTACAGACGACAAACAATAGATAAGAAGATGACAGGACAAGATTATCAGAATTTAATCCCAAACAACGGTGCCTTGAAACTGGTCTTTTAATAAAAAAAAAAGAATTTTGGAGTAATGGATTTTATTGACAAGGATGAAAACGGTAAGACAAACAGTGATATTTATATACATTGTTATTTTATATCTAATCGTTCATTGTGTATTACTGTTATCAAATACTAATTGTAATATATATTTCATTTGTCAAGGCGAGAGCGAGACTGCCTCCAGCATGATGGCATTGAGAGCTATATATCAAGGGATATCATGTTTCAGTTGATTATTGTTATATGGAATATACTTAGACAACTTCCGTGTGATCATCGACTATAGAATCATATTATGGCCTTGTTATATTCGGCACATTATGGCCATGAGCGACCCTATTTGGAACATATTTGAGCTGATTCAAACATTTGCAATTCAACATCCAAAGACATATTGCAAAAAAAAAACATAGAAATTTGATACCAATCGGACGTTTTGCTTAAAGGATATCATCATCATCAGGTCAAAATGTACGCTCCGAAATCTTAAATATCTGGCGGTGCCATATAATTTTTTTCGGTTGTAAAAATCAAACGTTGGCATACTTTACAAATGTGGAATTTGTCTTGGGTGTGACCTCCACAACTGATTGTATACCAGTTCAAAATACATGAATACTAGAATTAAAACTAAGATAAGTGTTTGTGAATTATCAGTAACTGATTAAACGGGGCTCTATTGTAAATGATTTTGAACAGAATTTGAGTGAACACCCATATGGGATATGACCTGAACTCTGTTGTTATGACGTAACCAAATGGACCGGTAATGTAATCCGAGATAATTAACATTGAAGTGTATATTGGTAGCTTATGTACTTCATGGATGAGTTCGATCTACATGATTTTTTGTTTATGAGAAAGTTATTGCCCATGAAAGAGCCAAAATACTTCAACATAGGCTTGTGAACTTGATAAAGTCTACAGTTTTAATTGAACTTTGTCAAAAGAATGTTGGCTCATATATATTGATGAGATCGATTTCCTAGATGAGTTCCATTTTTAAAAGAATTACGTAAAGTGTTGCTCGTAAATGCAATAGAGACTACAATTACTATGGAATCCTTATGAAACTTGGTATGCTTATTTATATTGATATAATATTCACTGAGTGTAATTTTCAAAATTTTTCGAAAATCTTACAAATACGTTACAATTGGCTGGTAAACGCAATACACACTACAATCTCGATCGGATATGGATGAAAGTTATTCTGTATTGAACATTCATTCTAAAATGTATAACTTGAAGTTTGAGTTAAATATGTTTAGCTGATGAAGCGAATGATTAGATGACATAATCCCTTTAGACTTTTTACGATGTAAATAGAAAGAATTACATAATAAAACAAAATTTTCCCCTCCACTCCTTATATCATTTCGACAGTACATGTATTCGATCGAGTCGGGCGTATTACAGATTATGAAATGATAAATGATTTTTTCTCTAAGCTAATTATTTTGATATCGATTCGTGAGATGACCTTTCTCTACAGATTGATAATGCCGATATATTTTAGACAAACGTAAAGAATTTTCTGGTCTATTTATTGGCATCTTGCACTATTAGCGACTACTGGTACCGTTTGGCCTTCGTGATTTATATGATTACAGGAGAACTGAACTTGATGACGTATTAATGACGTAAATACTATTAGAGAAAGAGACATCACAAAACTTTTGCACATTATATGGCGTTGCGCTGGCGAATGTTTTATTAGAAAAAATTTTAATTATCAAAAATATAGTATATTGAATTGTTTTGTAATAATAAAGAATCTTTTAGCATATATTTTTCATGTGTTGGTCTTTTCCAGAAGATAATCAACAACTATCCATACATATAGCTGTTAATAAGGGTGATATTACTAGTTTATTAAATATCATATGGCGAGATCCCAGTTTACTAGAACTACAAAATGAACAAGGTAATAAATGGTACAAGTAGAACCAAGCAATTCAAAAACAAAGCCATCTTATAAAAGGGGGAGTATGCACTCCATCCATGGAAAAAAACGTATTTATTAGGCAGTGAGATTCGTTAACTAATCTAATCTAAACACTTTTGCCCTTAAAACCAGTATCACTTCCATTTACACTACAAAGACTCGTGTCTAAATAAAACAAAGAAGTATTTTCCAGGGTTTGATTTCAGGGTTAACTCCGTTGGCAAGCGCCACACAAAACAACCAGCTCCCAGCCATGAAACAGTTAGTACAAATGGGAGCCAACATCAATTCCCAAGATGATATGGGACGTACGCCTGTATCTATTGCAGCATACCAGGTAATTTCTATAAAAATTTAAACGTTTCCTCCAAGCTTTATATTTTATAAAAATTAAAAAGACTACATACAAATAACAAACTGTAAGTAAAAGTGAGTTGACTGGCTCGTTTGAAAATACATACTATGTATAATCATAGCCCTCAATACGAGATTTACCTGCTGAAGTGAGACACGGTAGAAATATGTAGACGATGCCCTCTATTATGTGGTTTTAACTCTCTTCATTTAGGGATGGTATGAAGGCGTTCTATTTCTATTAAGAAGGGGAGCTAAGCCTTACATATCTGATAAATGTGGTAGATCACCTTTACATGCTTCAACGTATCACCAGAACATTAGGTAAGTATTGTATTTAATACACGCACTTCTTAAGACTATGGTATTTCCTTAAGGTGCGGTCGCACTTCCATGACAAAATGATCGTGTCGCCGACAAGATTTATAATATCAAACAAGTTTGGTAATTGTCTCCAATAATTTTATCGTCTGCATGACAGGCCGTCATCATCCACTCAGATTCATTTTCCTTTCAACTGCATGCTCCGCACGTGATTATCAACAAGGCGGCAAACGACCGACTGGAGATTTTTGTCTCCTCGCGTGCCCTTGCCAGTCGTTGAAACTCCAATCGGCGACAAAAGTTTCCGACCAAGACCGGTCGTGTGCCCACACCTTCACTAGTCGACAGCAGCTGTGTTTGGGTTATTTCTCAAATAGCTTATGATGTGGAAAAATTGAAAAATGTGATTTCTGAATTGAAAGTGTCATAGGCTTAATGCTGTATTGTTTCTTTACATGTTATTTGGTTTTTATTTTTCAGTATTTTGAATGCTTTACTACAGTCCCTTGGAGAAGACGATATTAATAAAGCAGACAAAGAGGTAAATCAAGATTGTCTAGCTGCATTCATTCGTATCCAAATTAGTAAAAGCTTCGAATATGCACCTTATCATTTTAAATACATAACTTTAAACACTATAAAATCAAAGATTTGATCATTTATAACATATCACAATGTAGTATATATTTTTATTCTTAGTTCATGACCGCACTTCATTGGGCAGCTTTCCACAATCGACCTGAACACCTTGATGAACTGATCCAGAAAGGAGCAGATTATTTTGCTCAAGATGTAGATGGAAAAACACCTTTGCATTGGGCGGCACAGGTATTGTTTAATGGTTCAGATTTTTAAGATAAATTCGATAGCTGGAAACATTTTTACTCATGAAAATGTGGACGCATATTGTTCTCGCTCTGTTCGTCGGTGCGTATATTTCTTGTGAACGCAATAGAGACTACAGTAATTATCCTAGCTAGAGGTTTCAGTAGATTTAATTGAAATGATGTGTTCACAAAATTTATCAGATCTTGGATAAATGTCACGAAGTTATATTGAACGTTTTTTTTTAAAAGTTATTGCCCTTGATTTAGTCCAAAAATTAGTCAGGGAACACATGAAAAACCGGGGTTTTCAATAGATTTTGTTCAACCTTATAGCATGATGATTTTTCAAAACAGTTTCAGTGTTATTGCTCTTGACGCGTCATATCGTATGATTGTTGATCTTGCATGAACACAACAGAAGTTACATTAAGTTGTTAGCAGTCGGTTAATTTGTCGATATGAGCGTCCTTTGCATGTGGATTCAGTGAGCTGCTTTGAATCACATGTCGACCTTGGCCTTTATCAGAGCCCTCGTGTGGTGTATTTTGTAGAATGGTTGTTTAGAATGCTGTTATAAACTGGCCTCTTACCCCGATGGTGCGCTGTTGATAAATTCTGAAGATCTATCTGGGAAAACACCTATACATTTTGCAGCAGCGGCAGGGTATGCTGATGTTATACAAACTTTGAATAATTTTCCTGGATGCAACTTAGAACCTCAAGATCCCGATAACAGGTAGGGTGGTTCTGATATGTCTTTTTTCGGAGGCGGTATGTGTCAGTCCGGCAGCTCCCATCTTGTATGCCACGAACACCAGAGCTCAAATACGCACATATTTTATTGGTGGTGGGGGATTACCACCTTTAGATGGATCCAATTTCGATGATCGAGATGATCTCAATGTTTCCAGAATCAAATTTAAAGTTCCGATAATCAAGATGGTCTCATATATTCCGACAATCAAAAACGCTCTCAAATTGGAAGTTTCAACGCTTCAGATGATCTCAAACTAGAACTTTGGATGACAGACGATCTAAAATTAGAAGTTCATGTTCTTATAATCAAGTTATTCTCCTTTATAGATTTTTCTCCTAATAACAATTATTAACATTTTTCCAGAACACCATTACATTGGGCGTCAGCAATGGGTAAATTCGATTGTATGAAAGTATTAATAAATCTTGGTGTTGCTGCTAATCCTATTGATTCTGATGGCGGAACTCCTTTAGACTACACAAAACAACTGGGCAACATAGGTATGTATTTGCTGACTCAATGGTATAGAATTGGTTCTGGTATCCGCCGTCGAGACGCTGTTGCCGCGTTAGAAATGGAAAATATGGTGACTGACGACATAATTATTTCACTAGTTTTGCAACCGTGATTCACAATTCATGTACGCGAATACAGGCGTGAGGGCTACTTGAAGTTGCAAACCCCACTTTGTCATTACAGAATATAATATAAGGTACTTCATTCATTTGGGAAATTACTGTAATTATGACCTATTTTACGATTTTTATCACGATTAAATCCACGAACAAAACCACTTAGTGACTAGAGTAAATTGGTCTGCTGTATCAAAAGTTTATGTCGTCTATCTCGCATGCATTTTAATGGGTTTGTTATTGTGATGTATTTGAGAGCTTTATTAGTTTTATTATAACATTGGTAATTACTGTGTTATAAACAAGTAATATTATACAATTAAATACCCAATACTATTCTGTCATAAACAACTGATCTAAAATGAACTTAGAAATTATATTTGATCTGGTTAAAGGGGAAGTGTGGGCGACTTCATGCAGACTGGAATTGTGACCACTAAATCCTGCCTCCCTGTGTTGATATTTTGATGTCAGTTTTGGCTTTCCACTCATGTCAGTAAAGGGAATTTCATTCGGTTAAAAAAAAAAATTCAAAATGTCCGATTTTCACTCGGCTTGAATTGTGGTTGCATTCTGCGACGACCAAAGCCTTGTTTAGCTTTGGACAAAGTTTTGGGATGTTGAATTTCCGGTATGATTATAGCTATACCAAAATATATCGATACATTATAATAACTATTGACAAATTTAATCACATGAAAAATGATGTGTGATTATTTTATTTCAATATGATATCTAATCACTTGGCAATGTTCATTAAAAAAAACGGTTTGTATTATATGCCGCCAATGCCCTCATCAGTGTACATTGCAATAGGTCGACCATGTATAGCATTTCTTTTTTAGGGCATTTTTATAAACTGGGGCGTTCATACCTTCCCAAATTCAAGCCATGTTATTACATACCTGTATTTTATATAGGCTAAGTACAAAAGGGATTAACGATATGCTTCTTGTTTGCCTTTGATTCAAATCTTATTAAATCCCTTTTCTTTTGTTTACTTTATTGATAGAATGCCAGAGGTTATTGGAGCAGAAACTTGGCCAAGTGTCAAAGGTTAACGAAGCAGAAGTAACATCGAAGAAATCGTCGTCCAGTAATTCGTCAACACCAACTAAAAAAGACGAGGTCCCCTTAGTTTCATTAAAGATTTGTTTTTAACAAGAAAGACTAACTGTGATATAGAGCTAACAACCACCACTAGTGACTTCATTCAACCAGCTAATCAAAATAACTTAAAATCTCAAACCGATAGTGCTATCAAGGATCAGAATTTATCATCTGACCTTACTCGACACCCAAACGACGATCTAAAAGGGCTCAAATCGAACTCGTTGAAAAATCGGAATCTGTTACGAGGATTAGCTGTTCAGGATCAAAGTGCTCTGAAATCTGGTAAATCGCCGGATGTGGATTTATTTTTAACTACAGCAATAGTAAGTGATGATATTATTTTCACAATAATTGTTTTATTGTTAATTGTAGTAGATTTGTAGTAGTGGCTAGGGTAGGATCGTCAATCGACGCACTAGGTACACGATGCTTTACCTCTCATTTCACAGGTTTACACTGCAAAATACACCAAGAGCTTTAAAGTGTGAAAATTGTGGCTACGTCTTCAGTGCTGAAACGATTCACCAACTAAGACGCATGATTTTTTTCTCGAATAAAAAAATAAGCAAATTTAGTCCCATGTCCGTTAACTTGCTGAAATTTCCAATCGCTTGAAAAGCTTATTAAAGCTTAAATTAGGTCAGAGGGTTGTGGGAAATGTAATACCCAATAAACATTAATGAAAGCACTTGGCGCAATATAAGTAGTATTTTGTGGTCAGAAAGTGTCGATGCATTTTTATTTATTTAACGATATTTAAGTAGTTTTGAACAACCCAAGAGCCTTATGATGAAAATTTTATTTCAGACGTCAGATACTGTGGAAGCGAATGTTTTAGGGAAAAAACCACTACCCGATATCAAGGGCCTGCCGACATTCAATAGAAATAATTCCAACCATTCAAATGGTAATACCATAGATATGGACGACAGATCGACAACTCCGAGAAGCTCAAGAAAGAAAGAAAAGCTTGGTCCTCTGCGTGGAGTAAAACCACTCTATGGTAAGAATGTGGTTACTCGTCGCTCGAAATAAGACATAAAAGAGTCTTAACATGCAAAAACACCGAATATGTTCAGAAGAAAAAAATTAAATATTTAATTGAAAGGGAGCGAGAAAATACTCGTTTATGTAACTTTCTTATTGTACGTTTTAGGAAAAGGATCCATGCCACATGAGAGAGTAATGGCTATAAAGAGAGAAGATATGACACCTAGATCACCCACACCGCCTGGGGATTTTGAGGATAAATTTTCAAAGTAAGTATAAAAGGATATACATACTAAGCAGGAAATACGCCCACATTATTCGCTACCTAAAATGTGACCAGAATTTTATTTCCATTTTGCCAACATTATATTATGCAATTACCAGTCATAATGCATGTTTTAACAGGAAGTGATGTACATGTACATCGCCTTGCACACATTCATGGATTTTCTGAAAAGTCATGATGAATGCCCTACCCCCGAAATTCATCACTCTGCATAATCCAGGATCTGAAATGATTCCACGTGTGATCCTGCAAGGAGGAATACCCTTCCAGAAAAAATTTCATCGTTTACTCTGGACTTAATTACACAGACTTGTGTTGCATGCATGTTTATCTTTTTTTCGTATGGCTATAGAATTGCTTTTACCCTTCATATATTTCAGATTTTCTTTACACGGAATAAAGTCACGTGAGAGAAGGCACACGTTACATACAGTAGATTCACAACATTTGCTTGAACAGAATGACATCCGCAATTGTGTTTCAAGCTGTGAAGACCCCAGTCACCCAACTTCGGATGTTGGTCCGCGACCGACATCAAGACCTCGTCAAGTGCTAAACAATGTTGTGTATTCATCCTCAGAAGACCTGTCAATCGGAGATGATGACGAGACTAAAGGATCGGGACTATCTTTACCAGAAAGGAAAATATTGGATAGAAAAATTCACAGTGTGCTTTATTAAATTATTTTTTGTGTACCCCCCGAACGTTTGTTATGTAACGGAAGTGACGTAAAAGTGCAATGACACAAATATGGCTTAAAATTTGAAGTGAACAGTCGGGTATAAAGAATTGGTATATTTTTTTTTCTTTTTTTTTTCTCTGGAAGCGACTTCTCTAAGGTTGTGTACCGTCAGTGCACACCCAGTAAGCTAGTTTTGTATTGGATAGGACTACAGTAGTAACTGTGAGTTTCGAATTCCATGTTTTGCCTACAAACAAGTCTATTCTCTTCAACAGTTATCGATTGCTAATTGGTCACGTTGCATTATGTCCTCCATAACAATCATTATTTTTTTTAACAAGATGATAGAATCAAGTATATGAACTGGTCTCATGTTCCGTTTACCTCAACTTTTTCTAGCTACCCTCGAATACATACAATTTAGACAGTATCTTTTGAAGAAGAGACTAATGATATTCTATGATAATTGTAGTATTATTCTATTAAAGTGGCCTTTGTCTATCACTTATTACGTAGGTGTTTCCTTGTTGGGCTCGTAGTGGCGCTAGTGTATAATTTTAGAATATTAGCTATAATGGTGCCGCTATGAATATTCCATCTTTTTTTCTCATACATCATTTCTGATTTATGTTTTTGAGTTAAATATTTAAAGAAACAAAAAAGAAAAGGTTAACTCACATTGATATTTTTTTGGTAGGCCTAGGCTACACTGCAGAAAATGGCGTTATCATGGCGTTAGGCCTATTTCTTCTTGGAACATTTTTTGTTAGAGCCTGAGTGAAAATAAAGAAAATTCTTTCAATCATCAAGAAAAACTATCAGTTACTTCTTTTAAAAAAACAATGAGTTTTGCCCTAAGCTCATTTCCATTAATAATAATTTTAATTCAGCAAGATAAATTGTCACAGTCCAGTCCAAGCCGAGACAAAGTAGGCCTAGGGCCTATCACGACTAGGCCTTTAGGGGCTGAGTGAGATCACATTAAAACCACGATTTGTGGGTTACATTGATCAAGAATTATGGAGCGAATGACAATGGCCTATTACGTTTAATACCCAAATGAAATAAAAAAAAAAAAGGCCTACTCACCAAACAAACTGATAGAAAGAAAAATAGGTCTTTGTTCGTCTGTCTCTGGACTGTGAGTGTGAAATCGTGAGATCACAGGCCTACCGACAAATTACGGCGACTACTGACCCTTTTGATATCAATTCGCCATTCCTTATTGACTTCATGATTTCCAGGAAACTGATGTCCACCAATTATTCGGAAAGTGGTGAGTGATTAGCATAGTCATAATAGGTGAAAGTTTGCCGCAATATTTTTTTTACTTCTGATAGAACAGTGGCGCCACCCGGGGAGATAACTCATGTGAAATTGCCCCATTACCTCTATGAGTGTCCCTAGCACAGTTCTATTTAATAGTGAGCATATATTTTATATTTTTGGTAGCGTTGGCGTCTATTAACGAAACTTGACGCTATATAAGTTATTTTCGGACGTGTATAATGAAGTGACCCTCGGCTATATTTTTTTTTTCAAACTGAAGTGAGAAAGCCAAAATTACTGGTTCATTTTGATTGTGCTGCATCACTATAATGGAATAATTTTCATTGTAGCAAGTGTCACTGTGACGCTCCCCAGATGCACTATTGTTTCATTATGGCGATCCCCTATTATGAAACTTAACAATTTCAATTGAGATGCCCCAGTAGACTAGCCTATTACCTATGTAGCAATTTTCATTATGACAGTTTATGTAGCTGGTTTCATTGTGACCTTCCCCTATTATGAAACAATTCTGATTGTGATGCATCGGTATTGTGAAACAGTTTTAATCCCGCATCTTTATTGTGTAGCAGGTTTCACTGTGACGTATATAGGGCCTACCCCTGTGATAAAACAATGTTCATTGTGACAGCACCAATGGAACGATTTTGATTGTTACGCACTTTACGGCATCAATTAGCCTATAGGCGGCACTTCCATGTGAAGCCTCCACTGCTATGAAGCCGTTTTCATTGTGACGCAACAATATTCATTGTAATGAACAAAATATTTCCATCCTTTGACAGCTATAATAATGAAATTTTCATTGTGACGCATCTCTTATTATGTAGCGATTCGCATAGTAACGACATCAATAATCATAAAGCAGCTTTCACTGTGACGTCATAACGGGACCATGATCATTTCAGAAGATTCCAGAATAAGTGTCACAAGTTTTATGGACATTCTAAAAAAAAATCTGTGTAAACCATAACTACAGATTTTGGATGCATTATAAGAATCGTAGTGACAAGATGACGCCAGATGACAATATAAACATTCTTGATAGATTGGTGAATGCAAATAGAGAATATATAGACATGACTGCAGATGAAGATGAAGAAATTCTCGACGAATTGATGTCACAAAATAAAAAACACATTGGTTTGATAACAGATGATAAAGGTATTCTTTATAATGATTTTAATATGATGTCAGTCAATAAAGAATACTTTAATTCGAGGGCAGATAAAATTTTGGATGAACTGATGTTAGGAAATAGAAAATATCTGGATGAACTTATTATGCCAAATTATAAAGGCAAGATTGGGACTGAAAATAAAGGAAAGGTCCATCAGAATACAGAATATAAGGGAAAGATTAATGATCAGGGGACAGAATATAAGGGAAAGATCTATGATCGGAGGACAGAATATAAGGGAAAGATTAATGATCAGGGGACTGAAAATAAGGGAAAGATTAATGATCAGGGGACAGAATATAAGGGAAAGATCTATGATCGGAGGACAGAATATAAGGGAAAGATTAATGATCAGGGGACGAGTGAACAAAAGACAGAAATAAGAAAAATCCATGATGAAAAGAAGGAAAGTTGTCAAAATATTTGTGGAGAACAGAAGGTTGAAAGTCAACTCCTGGGTGATGTGACAGCAAATGATCGCGATATTCTGGATCAATTAATGATCAATAATAAGGAACATATTGATTTGATAATAGATAATAAAGATGTTCTTAATGAATTAATAAATGACAATAAAGAACATATTGGTTTGACAACAGATGATACAAAAATTCTGGATAAATTGATGACTGAAAACAAACAGCATTTTGATTCTATGGCTGATAACAAATTCTTAAAGATGGCTTTTCGTATTTTTAAGAGTAAAATCAAGCAAACTATTGGTGGTTATAATGAATTAGGCCTATCCATGTATTCTTAATCTAAAGAAATGTATGTGTCGGCAGGATGTTTGAAGAATACAATAAACTCAGATCCACTTATCTACGTTACCATGACATGAAGCTATAAGTTTTGAATTATTCATAAAAGATGAACAGCAGATAGAAATCAAATATATCAAAGAAGAACAACAGACAGAAATCAGGGATATAAAAAGTGAACAGCAGACAGAAATCAAATATATCAAACATGAACAGCAGATAGAAATCAGGGGCATAAAAGATGAACAGCAGAAATCAAGGATATAAAAGATGAACAGCAGAAATCAAGGATATAAAAGATGAACAGCAGAAATCAAGGATATAAAAGATGAACAGCAGAAATCAAGGATATAAAAGATGAACAGCAAAAATCAAGGATATAAAAGATGAACAGCAGAAATCAAGGATATAAAAGAGAAATCAAGGATATAAAAGATGAACAGCAGAGAGAAAACAAAATAATTGTGAGCAGCAGAACTTGTCTTTGTTTCGCATCTTGCATCAATGTTTTAAGTCAGCAAATTTTTATTCTGAAATGTAATATGTTTCAGAATGGAACTGGTTGATAAAAGTTTCATCGAAAGGCAATGCCAATATTTGGACTCTTTTCCTCTAAAGTTTTTAAACAGAATACTAATTTCCAGATATCAATTTTATTTATTCATATACTTCAACATTTTTGTATCCTTTGAATTGCACATATCATATAGTTTGTGTAGTTTATCCCAGAAATATCACTCTCCTCAATAAAGAGATTAAATAATCTTCAAATCTCAAAGAGCTGACAATTTGTTTTTGTAATTTAAAATCAATTATGGTATTTTATGTTTGAATTTCATTAATATAAAATTTATGTCTTCCTATTAACTATCTACAGTGTAATATGGTCTCTAACAAAATATCATAGATAGAGGAATAGCAAAGCCTATTTCTAAAAGATTTAGCAGGTTGACCCAAACATTAGTGGCTGAAATAATCTAGTGACATTACATTTGCACGAAATACATTACATTGGCACGAAATAAACTAGTGACATTACATTCGCACAAAATAAACTAGTGACTTTCCATTCACACAAAATAAACTAGTGACTTTCCATTCACACGAAATACATTAATATCATTACATTTGTACAAAAAAAACTAACTAGTGACTTAACATTTGCACGAAATAAGCTAGTGACTTTCCATTCACACACGAAATACACTAATGGCATTACATTTGCACAAATACATTACATTTTCACAAAATTAACCTATGACATTACATTTGCACGAAATAAACTAATAACATTACATTTGCACAAAATCAACTAATGACATAACATTTGCAAGAAATAAACAAGTGAGATCACATTTGAATGAAATAAGCTAGTGACATCACATTTGAATGAAATAAGCTAGTGACATCACATTTGAATGAAATAAGCTAGTGAAATTACATTTGCACAAAATCAACTAGTGACATAATATTTGCACAAAGTATACTAGTGACCTAACATTTGAATCAAATAAGCTAGTGACATAACATTTGAATGAAATAAGCTAGTGACATCACATTTGAATGAAATAAGCTAGTGACATCACATTTGAATGAAATAAGCTAGTGAAATTACATTTGCAGGCAATAAGCTAGTGACATTACATTTGCATGAAATAAACTAGGGACATTACATTTCATTCACACTGTTTATACATGTAATTCACTAGTGACAGTCTATTCATACACCAATACACTAGTGACAGTACATTTACCAAAATTCACTAGTGAAATTACATTTACAAAAATACACTAGTGGCATTACATTTACACAAAATACTACAGTAAAATAACATTTACACAAATTCATGAGAAATTTTTAGTTCATTTTGACATCTTTACATCTTTACATATGCAATCTGTAAATATGTGCAACCTGGTAAAAAGAATAGAGTAAGGCATTGCCAGTCCTATATTATGTAGCATAGAATCTAATCAATGATATAAAGCGTCTAATAGTAAAGTCACTATCACAAATAGTTTTGGTTATTTTGTCTTTATAATCTATTCTCTGTATTGATAATAGCTTGGAGCTGAAAAATAAAGGAGAATTGTGTACAATATTTTTAACCCAGCAAAGGGCTTGTTAACCTGAGTGTGCATATTATAGATAGTGTGCAATTTTAAAAATCTGATGCAATTTTAACCATTTTTTTACTCACAGATGATTGAAGCTAAACAAATTGCCAGCTGGAATGTCATTTTTAAGCCCTGATGAATATTTATGACTATCACACCAGATGCAGTTAAAGGGATTGTAATGAAGTTTTCTAAAAAAAAATTGTGAATCAGGGACATAAATAGCATCAATTTACACCATTCAAATTTTCCATCAGACTTCTGTGGTTCCAGCAATTCCACTTTAACGAAGTGTTTGATGACATCACTAATCAAGAAATATGCTTTATCACATAAGACCCTTAGTGACATCATCAAATACTTAGTTTTTTAGAGAAATTGCAAGAACCAAAGATGGCTGATTGAAAATTGGAATGACGCAAATTGGTGCTATCATTGTCCCCGATTCACATAAAAAATTTAGAAAACCTCTTTGCAATCCCTTTAACATAATGTTAAAAGATCAAATGCAAAAAAGAATTGAATATATTACTTACAGTTTGGATTGATAGGTGGTCTAAGAGGAGAATACTTGGAATCACTAGTAGATAAAGCAGGATTAGGTGACATTGGAGGCATAGATCGACGTTGTTTAGGTCTATAGGTATCTGTTAACTTCACAAATAAAATCCGAGCCATTCGCAATATAGCAGCATGGATAGCATACTGTAATAACAGAGCTCCAAAACCTCGGTATAAACCTTGTAGTCCTTCTTCAATAACAATTGACTGGAAACAATCCACAAAGCCCTCGTATCCAGTATTAATGGGGATCACACCAAACCCTGTATCCATGTTATCTATGATGGTTCTTGTGCCTTGTATATACATTCTATTCAGTACTGTTTCTAGAGGATATAGCGCTATGTCTGCTATTATGGCACCAGAAAATGTACCGATTAAATCTGGGAAGTACTCGTCATATAACGTTTGACTCATAGAAGATGATGCATCTGGGCTATCCTGAAACAAGTAGAAGGCCTTATAGACTAAAGCAAACTAATGTGTAGCCAGAGGCCGTATTCTCAGAAATCAAAAAAATATTTTCAGAATAATAGTAATCTGAATGAATGATATAACTAAATAGAAATTTTAGTGATTGACCAATCAGATGCTTGGAACACTAAAATCATCTGAAGTTAGATTTTTGAAAATAAGGCTACTGGACCATCAAACTTTGAACAAATTATAAACTTATTGTCTTCTTACCTCTTTTATCACTAGTGCTCTACCAGGCATTATCAGACATTAATATATTATATTATATATATACTCTATCAGTCTGTGATGCAGACATTACTATGTGACATCACATAACATAAACATCATACACTGACCTAGGCCAGTGCTTTTATGAGACTATGTTCTCATCACTATCTAACACTGAAAGTTTTAAGAGTTCAGCTTGTATGACACCTATTCTGTCTGAATTGTATGTTTAAAGAGTTAATTTTTTCACTATTAGGTCATCTTGCTTATTTTTTTTTTCAATCATGCTTACCCAATCTTCCAGTTGATCTGAGCGTATAGATGATACAACAGTATATTGAGCTACAGAACATATTACATAATGAGCCACACGAAATATAACTGTTGGTAGAACTAACTTCCAGATGGGTAGCAGTCGGGTAGTCTGTGGCATTCCCCATCCCATAATACGGGTAGCAGCTTCTTTAATACAATCGAAAACACCTGGCCTCTCACTTGCAATGTCACTCTAAAATAATTGTAAAGATTTGTAACATATCGAATCTTTTGGTCATCCTTGACAACTCAATATAACAGAAATTAGAACGGTAAGAATTGACATGAAAACACGGTGCTTAACACTTCTAAAAATATCAAATTAAAAGAGGGAATGCATTTCAGTTTCATGAAAAAAGTTCACTTGACTAAATCATTTCTCCCAGTGTTCAACAATTTATGGGTTTTGTTTTAAAAAAACTTGAAAAAGTGAAACACGGACACGGTGTATTTATAGCAAATCCTGACTCAAAAACTCTATTCATAGCAAATAGCAAAGTAGAAATATATGTCACCTGTATAGTTTCAATTAAACTAGAAGCAAACAAAGGTGTAGTCAGGGCAAAAGTCAAACTGAAATTAAAAAGTATTTCATTATAGATAGAGAAACGAATTGTCAAAAAAAGTATTACTTGTTTCATCTTCCAGGTATAATTTCCTGGGTGACACCACTTCTCATCCATGATCTGACAAAATTGTGATGCAACACATGTTGTCATTACACTTATAGCAGTTTTCAGCTAATCTTTTAGCATCATTTTCCATAAACTTGAAAACCAACCACACATTTCTGAATAGCTTTATAATAAAATATATTAATTACCCTTTCAGAAGAACATGTTGTAAATCTTTTTTTATACTACTGTGTCTTGATACCTCTCTACAATACAAACAAATCAAATCATATTAGGCCATACAAAATAAATAGTCTGTTTTACAAGCCTTTTTTTGCAAAAATTGGGGCGAGAGGGCGAATTTATCATTCATAAGCGCTTTTTTAGATTTTCAACTGGAATAAATCAGAGCAAGCGAAAGCATCTATTTTTTATTACCACAAATTTAATGTACATTTAATATTAAGGCAACAATCAGGCATTTTTGGGCCGGCAAAAACTATTTATTTTGTATGGCCTTATTCATTGATGTTCTAATACAATGTCAAATATTTTAGCATTTTGACTTTCTACACAATCAATTTGACAATTTATTTCTTGTGCTTAAAGATAATGTACTGTTAGCAAGCATTCACTTTTGTGGACAGACAGTTAGAAAGAGTCTACAGATGTCCCAATCATGTCACCTTCATGAGCTTTAATTCAAATTTCTAGCACATCCAAACAAGCTAGCATCCAATGAGATGGGACTGAAGTCTTTTTCAACTATTAAACTACTGTATTCCAAAAGTTTGATATTATAGCCCCAAGAGACAATACTTTAACACTTACTTTGGTAAAGGTGTTATTTCACTAATAACTGTATCAGATATCATAATAAAACCACTAACAACAAAAACACTACCTAAACCTTTCCATATTGTCCCCATTCCCTGTAAGAAATACACATAAGACTGTTAAAAGTTGTTAATTCACATAGTTTTGTACATAGATTGTAAAATCAATATGCAGTGAGGTCCCAGGTCAATTTCTGCTTCGAGATCAATGGTTGTTTATTCATGTGACGGCCATATTGAATCTCCAACGAGGCTCATAACGCAAACAGAAAAAGGTAACGTTGTGTCACTGCAGTGAAAACAGCACCTTGACATTTTAAAAGCCACCTTCTCCCATCCTACTAACTCAAAGTTAATTATATTTTACATCATTCAATTTGGAATTAATTAAGCTATTTAACGATACTTTCAGATGAAGACACATTTTTGAGAAAGGGCAGTGTAAAATCCATTTTCTTGCTGTTGATTGGTTGTTAAGTGACAATAAGTGTGATATTACCTGATGTCTGTAACGATTTATCAATACTTGTATTAATGTAAAGGGTGTCAAATGATACCACTCTCCATTATGATGAACCTGTAAAGTTAAAGAAGTTCCTATTAAACCTAAAAAGTTAGAGAAGTTGCTATCTTATTAATCAAAGTAAGCTTATAGATGAAAACTAAAAAAAACCCTTTAAAATAAGATCTTACATGATACAAAAAACCAAAATTTTGAATATTTGTATACATGAGACCTTTGGATCTTTTACAGTTCAAATGGTTTTCTTTGAATGCCTGATGACAATTAAGCACTTTTTTCCCTTATACAGATGTGTACAACATCTATTTTATTTTTGACAACAGCTCCATCTAGGATGGCTACTATAACAAAATAAACAATACTACCTGACACTGTCTTCTTATAACTTTACATGGATGAGATAGAATCTGTTCAGCAAACACACTGAAATTAAAATAAAATATATCATTGAGGCATTACGTCTCTTTTATTTTATTTCAATGTACCTGTATCCTTCAAATATCAAGGTGAATATATATATATATTATATACGGTATAAATAAAGTTTGTAGTATGGTAGGTTATCTAATGTCACTAAATCAGTAGATGCTTTTTCAGAGCTCTAGAAGTTGAATTAAAATTAAAAATGAAGTGAAAAATTTACCTTGATAATCCAATAGCAAATCCAGCAGCTTTCTGAATTTGATCTGAAACAAAAAACCATAAGCGAACATAACATTTATCGAAATTTACATACTTGTTTCATATTCATAAGCCTACGTTCAGATCGAAATTAAACGAAATTAAAAAGGTTGTAACAAATGGGTTCAAAACAGGTTTTCCAGTCATGGACACTAATGCCATATCAGTTAACCCTTGAAAATTTCATGGAAAGTAGGCTTAGTAATTACATAGTGGTATTAATTTGGTAGGGTTATATTCATAGTTGGTTTGCCAAAAAATCTGTAAAAGTTACAACTCGGAATCACTACTTCTCATTCATATGAGAGAAAATGAATACAGTTTTATTTTATATGGTTCTTTTCTATTTGACCCATTCCAATTTCGTTTCCTTTTATGTGTGGTTGTCATCTTGACTTTTGTAATTCCAGAAAAACTTGGATGTTTATTTAATAGACTAGCGCATCTCTTACTAGGCCTATACTGTAAGTACACTATTTTGATTCTGTCACTGCCATACAATATAATTGTACCGATAGTCTGAAGTGATCACCTTGATTATTTTCCAAACAAAATTTACAATCCGTTCCATACCACTACTACCTGGCTGAGATGGAACTGGTTTGCTGGGTTGTTCTGCTTCCAGATATTGCCTGTATCGATTTTCATCATCTTGTTGATTTCGCCGAGGAGAATAGTTTGGCGAATATCTGTCACTCATCGAAAAACTGTCGTACATTACGTTCGTACCCATTTATTTGCAATCAAGTTCATGTCTTTCGTACTGTCTTTGAAAACCAAAACAAGGACGTTGTGATGAGAGTTATTTCCCCTTTAAAAGGGATACTGAATTTCATATGAAAATATTGCAAATAACTCCCATGAAAGTAGGTTGAGTGTCATTCCTGGAAATGCCATTTTCAGAATACTTTCGGGTGCGAAATAGAATTTATGCACCATGACCCTGTTAGACAAACTTTGTTGATAAATGGCTCCTGCATAAAAAATGATTGAAGGGAGGCAAACGCCTTATTAACCACAAGGATTATGCCCCTTTTACACAATGGCACAAAGTACAAGATAGTTGACATTGATATAAAATTATTGAAAATGGAGACAAAAGGGATAACACTATCAATTTTTGCTGGAAGTTTTGCAGCATTGGCATCAGTTAGTGCTAAATTAGTAACTAGTTCTGAAATAACATACATATCTGAGATTATTTTAGGTTCTTCAGGAAATGCCGGCATTCTTCAACATGTAAGTTTGATGGCATCAGACCACAGTTAAAACCTACAGGCCTTTTTGCTTTCCTTCTGTGGGGCTATATCCAGTATATATTACAGTGTATATTCATAATAACTCAGGACAGTATTCAAATACATCTGGGTGACTTTCTTTAAATTTATTAATTACTAGCACCTTCCTGCTCATCCTTCAAATTTTTATCGCCAAAAACATTTTCCATGGGGATATAATTGCCAATGACTATTATCAGCCATCCTTGCCTTTATCCACCACCTAACGAGTCATTCATTCATAAACACCACTGTCTGAATGTGAACAAAGTTGACAAACCCATTAGGTCACTTGCGTTAGGTGTTCCAAAAGGGAAACTAAAATGGCTTTTTTCAAGTTTTTGTATAGATAATTGTAAGAATTTAGTTGTACTAACCGAAATTATGGTATTTTCATTTTATTATATTTCAGCTACCATTAGTTATAAGAGGTGTCTGTCTAATTGCGGTGTTTTTAAGTAATGCCTTAATGTGGACATTCTTCACTAAATCTTTACAGTATTTATCATCTATACAAGCTACTATAACTAATACATCTACCAATTTCTTAGTTTCTGTAAGTTGTACACCTGTGTCTTTTCATAGAGATAAAGTTGTCTAAATATTTGCCTTACCAGCCAAAAAAAAAATATTATGCAGTAAGACGTTATTGTAGTGAAATAATGAATTGTTGTTGAGGCATCAGAATTTCATGGTAAATTTCAAAGTAGTACCTATATGGATCAGTACATGCAACCTTTAAAAGCAATGAAAAAATTGTGTACAGGTACAACAGTACATCAAGATTTCTAAGTTATAGATATACATCTATTCTTTTCAGGCTATTATAGGAAAAATATTATTTAAAGAATTATTACCAATATTATGGTGGATTGGTAGTGTTTTTATATTACTAGGACTCTTATTAATACATAAAGATGGACAAAAAACTAAGGAAATAAAGGAAAAGAAATCATAGTACATACAGTAGAAAGAACAGTTCATTTAAGCTGAATTGAGCCACTTCTTAATAAGTTAGCATGCTTTCATAAGCATTTATGGAGATTGTATCGATAAGATTTTTTAAATCTGGTTTCTGATGATACAGATCACATGGAACAAGCATCTAGGCGTTCGTAATATTCAAATATAAACACCAAGCAAACATTCCAGTACACGTACATTGTAATAAGAAAAATAAAAGATTTTCTAATTATTTTTTTATTTTACTCCACCATAGTGAAGGTCACTAATATTATATTATTTGTGAAATATGTACAATTATTATGATACATGACATATTTAGCTCATAAATGAATGGAATTAAAAAGGTTATCTAAATACAGGTCAATATTAGCAATACATAGCACTTTTTATGAAAATTTAGAAAATAAATGCTTCAGACCAGGGGTTTTTAACTTGTGGGTAATCACCATCAATGGGCCAATTACTGACATTTTTGGGGGAAATGATGTGCTTTGTAGTCTAGCATAAATTTTTTTTAACAAGTATATGTTGTTTTATTCAGTCAGGCTATAGGCTATTCTCCGACATGAAAAATATTGCAGAGAAAACCTGAAAATCAAGAAATAGTACAGATTTATAGAGGGAAGAGGGTAATGTAATCGATCACGAGGCCTTTAAGGGGTAATGGAAAGAGTTGAAAATCCCTGCTTTAGCAATAGTGAGAGATACACAACATTCAAATTCTACATAAAGACGAAAAATTAGCACTTATTACATCAAAAGAATGAAAACATAATTCTAGAATATTTACACTCAAGCACCCATAAATCAAGCAAACAACAACAAATATAACATAACAAAATAAACATGAAATGAGGCATAAAGAAGAGTTAAACTTCTGTTACAACATCTTCACAACGTCATACTATAACAAATTGCATCTGTAATAGCCACCTTTCTTATATCAGTGAAGTTTGTAAATTCACCAATTTGATTGGATTGTACATTATATGGAGTATAGCCAATCAAATTCCAGACAAAAAGCCTGTTCACAATATGTCATAATGTAAACAGTCTTTCTGCCAAGAGCTCTGATGGGCTGTATTTGCTGGTGTACAATCCAATCAAATCAAATTCTATGATACAAGAAAGGTTTATTCAGTCAAGGTCTAAGACAAAGTTTGTAATAGGTGGACATTGTGAAGATACCATAATGAAGGCCCAACCACAACAGCAAGTTTTCCTTAATAATTTTCTCTTCAACCAGTGAACCAGTTTTCAAAGAAAACTTACTTGTGTTTATTGGGCTTGCTGGGATGTATTTGCAAAACAAAACAAAATTTGGAATGAAAATAACAGAATAATGTCTTTGAATCCCCCTACAGTTAAGAAATTTTCTGCTTCTACGATCTTATTCAAACCTCATTTTTGAGACATTGAACGCGAGGTTTTAACGCAAATTATGTCATCTATTGAATAGATGTATTATATAAAGAAATAGCCTATGTGAGGTCACGAAACACCCAATCAAAAAACAAGAAAAGGGCTTAACACTGTTATTTCTCAGATATGTGTGAAGGTAAAATTCATCTGAATAGCTTAATCAATTTCGAGTTTAATGATAGTTGTGATTTTACTGCAGTGACACAAAGCTACCTTTGTTTATTTGCATTATGAGCCTCATTCTGGATTCAATATGGCCAACGCTAAAAATGTCTACGCTCTCAAGAGTCTACTACTTCCACCAAATGTCTTATAATTTAATTTAATGAATAATTATATACTTTTCATGAAATTTCTCACTCTCAATCAAAACCAAATTCAAATGTTCCAGGAATTGTTATCAAGATTTTTCATGTTTAGTCTGAGAGGAGTCACCTGATAAAAATAATTTAGCTTGAACTGGTTTACTAATATTTTGTACATCTCTGGGTTTAATATTTTCTTTCAAAGCTGATTCAGGAGTTCTCATTCCCACCTTAACCTTCTGAACTTCATGCTGTAACTTGAGTAATTGCTGAAAAAATTAAGAAGAAAAGATTGAAGTAGATTTTAGTAGATTTTATATGGCCCACCTGACATATCTCATGGCAGATTCAGAAACTTGGCATAACAATCAAAGGATAGCATAGAGTCAGAGAATATGAAAACATTCCTCATAAGCATGTACATCAATCCATTTTATTCAAATTTGCCTTCCTGGCCTACACATAGACCCAATTCAATTCAGTGAATAGACCTCAATTTCAGCCAAAGCAATTTTCAGAATCGAAATTTTCCATCCAGTTCTCCTGCAAATCAACTACAACCTAATCTGAAAGCTTAGACTGTCAGTCACTTCCTCAAATTCCTCACATTCACAAAAGAAAAGGATTTCCAATATCATGACATTATCCATCAAAACTGTGATATACTTATCAGCACAATTTATACCAGTAATTATGTATATAATAAGAAAATCCTACCTCTTTTAAAGTGTTATTTTCTTCTTTTAACATAACATGATACTGTATTTTCTGTTTGTGATTTTGATGACCAACAAGTTTAGCATTTTCTATAGCTATAGTATTCATTTGATCTTGCATTTCTTTCATATCCTGAAAAAATCATACCGGAATTTTTATGGAAAATATATTTAGAATGTTGCAATTTCCTGACAATCTTCAACTGACTTTGAAAATAATGCACAAAATATATCTATGTTTCCTACTAAGTTATTTTGATGGCGAATCATTAAAGTCTACAAAAGAAGGGATTGTAAAGAGGTTTTCTAAACTTTTTATGTGTATCAGGGACACAGGGAGCATCAATTTTCCCCATTCCAATTTTCATTCTGACAACTGTGGTTCTTGCAAAACTAACGCCATATGACGTCACTAGAGGGAAACTGCATAGATATTAATAGTAGCTTCCGGTAGCTTAGTTTTAGTGGAATTGCAAGAAACCACAGACATCAGAATGAAAATTGGAATAGTACAAATTGATGCTATCATTGTCCCTGATACACATAAAAAGTTTAGAGAACCTCTTACAATCCCCTTAAGAGAATGTAGATGAGATTTTGAATTTTCTTATGTTATGTTCCAAGGTTATTCCCCATCAATAAAACAATGGACAAAATGTGAAAACAAATGTTGAACCAGGGCCCTTCTAGGCTGATTTTCAACACAAGATCATCTCCAGCCTTGCTGTAGTGTTAGGTATTGCTAATTTTAGATTGTAATAGTACTCACTTTAGCTATCTTAGATTTCTCTTCCATCAATCGTTCATTTACTGACGTCAATTTTTGTTTTTCTTCATGATCTTTAGATGCTATTAATGTCAACCTATCAAAAAAAAATTATGTGCATTTAACAAGAAGATCCAAAAACTCTCAAAATTATTAAATATGAAATTATATGAATAGGTATGAAATGAAAAAGAGTTTTAATATTTACTTTCCAAAACTATGCAAAGGAAGTAGTGCATGAAGGAAATTTTGTAGCATTTGCCTACTTTTTTTAGGCATATTCAACTGTTAAGGGATCTTCAGTTATAGATGTGTCTATGGTCCTCTGAAGATAAAATGTTGTGCCCATCAACATACAGCCAAGATTCACACAGGTACTTAAAGTACAGAGAAGCTCTGACTTATCACTATATCATCATTTCCAATTCTTACCTTTTAACATCCTCTTGTAACTGATTATTAGTAATATTCTGTGCCTCTATAGATTGACTGATTTCATTAATACTGCAATTAAAATAGATCAGTATATAATGCTTATTCATTAAAGGCATTGTAAAGAGGTTTTCTAAATTTCGTATGTGTATCGGAGACACTGATAGCTTCAATTTGCACTATTGCAAATTTTGATCAGATGTCTGTGGTTCCTGTAATTCCACTAAAACCAAGTGTTTGAAGATGGCACCAATTGCAAAGGGCCTATGTGATAAAGAATATTTAGAAAATCTAAAAGGTCCTTCTATGAGAATATTATTGGCCTATAGCATTAGACTGTAGACTGTACTGATAATGGATTTTATATCAGAAACATGTCTTGTCAGATGTCCTATATATAGTACAATTAAAGTTTTATCTGCCTACCTTAATTTCATTTTTTCTTTTTCTTCAAATATAGCTCTCTTTTCATTCTGTACTGTTTGTAAAGTTTCTATAGCTGATTGTAGTTCAGAGTTCTTACTAGATAAAACTGTTTCTAAATCTGTTAATCTACAACACAAGTCAATTGAAATTACAGTATATTCAATATTCAATTTAAGAGAAAAAATTACAACTGTAAATTTAAAATGTTTACAAGTCAACAAGCTCCCATATAATTTAGTCCCATAGTTATGCTTCATGGTCATTTCATTTGAAATGCAGAATGACTAGAATTCATAGCTCATCATTTTTTTGGGCAAATCATTTTGTGATTTACTCTACATACCTTTCTTCAAAATTAGTTGACATTTTATTATAACTAAATTCTTGTTCTTGAATTTGAGTTTGTAGGTTATCAACTTCTGTTTTATAACTTTCAGCTGCTGTAAGCTGGGTCTTAAATGAGGAAAATGAAACCAAATAACAGTCAAAAGTCTACAATGTGTTTTCTGGCTGACATTAAGCTCTTGAGATAACAGACTGATATTTCAAATATTATTGCTAGTTTATTTTGGTTAAAAATCTAATTAAAAACATAATATAGCACAAAAAAGCTGGTAAATAAATAGCACATTCATTTACTTGGACATTGTTTCCTTCTTCTAGAATCACAAAAGTCAAAGTTTATTATGTCCCTAAGGTTATACCTCAAAGTGTGCATATATAGACTTCTTCATTTTACAATTTGTGTGATCAAAATTAAGCTCAACTGAATTTGAAATCACCAAATTGTAGACCAATAAATTATAAGAAAACGTACCTTTAATGTTTGAATTTCTATATTCTTTTCTTTCCTACTGGATTCATAACTTTCTAACATTTTCTGAAGTTGGGACTGATTATCTTTCAAAGTATCACTGTTAAGGATAAAATATTAACTCTGGTGCTCAACTCTGGTGCTCAAGTCTATATTTCTAAAGCGGTTTAATGCCTAAATATTTACTTCACAATCTGTGAGAGCACATTTTCTTCAAAAGTATTGACAGTCTGAACTTTCAGGGTTTGTTTCAACGCTTAAAGGAATTGTAAAGATGTTGTCTCAATGTTTTATGTGTATCAGGGACACTGATAGCATCAATTTGCACCATTCCACTTTTCAATCAG